ATCTTATGGACACCGTGAATGCATTAACTGATGCTGTTTCCCTTCTTGCTTTGGTTGCTAGGAAACCCAGGACAAAATTGCAGACCTCCTCTGGCAACTGCACAGAACCTTTGAAAAGCATTCTGTATACTAACCTTTCCTCTCCTTCATTTTAATCCCTTATTACTCTTTTTTCCTACAGTACTCCTTTCCCTCCCCCTAGACTTCTTTCCCTCCTTCCCCCACCACATTCTTTCTTCTTCTCTCCTTTCTCCTTAGCAGTTGACATTAATTGACCCTCTGTTCTATGCCTGGCACTGTATTAGGGGCTTGACACACAGCAGCCTTCCCCCTAACCCCCATAAACTCCCTATCAGTAACTGCAGCCCACCATGGTTACTGAAGAACTGGGAGATTCTTCCAGGAGTGACTTGTGTGGGGGACATAGGAGTGGGCTGTTCCCACCCTGCTCCCTCCTGCAGAAGGAATTCTTGTGACCTACCAATTAAGGCACACCATCCTTGCCCTAGTCACCCTCAGGTCATTTGTTGTGCCTACCTATATACCCATAGATCAGTCTGATTGCTTCTTGCAAATTCGTATAGCATGTGTAGAGTTTCAGAGCACAGACATGGCTTTATCAGAAGGGTACAAGGTGGAAAACAGAGGGTGTGAAGAGGGAGGAGAGAGAAGGCCCTCGGGCTGGGGGCTAAAGAGTGAAGGATGGGGGCTGGTGGTTTGGCTCAATCAGTAGGGCACCTCCCTTGAAATCATGAAGCCCTGAGTTCAAACCCCAGTACCACCAGAGAGAGAGAGAGAGAGAGAGAGAAGGGCGGGCTCACTTCTGCTTTACTTTTCCAGAGCACTCCTTTTCATGTTCCTTTCTCATCCCTGCCCAGCAACGCTCTTCCTCCTTAATTCCTACTTCCCATGAGCCCAAGGTCCTCAAAGTTCTGCTTTCGTTTCCCCTCCATGGTAGAAGCAGGCATGGGGTGGGGGGGTGGGCAGGGGCTTCTGTTTTGCCTTCAGGAAGCTTGAGGTCAAATCTGATGCTTGCTTATAAGCCAGAATATCAGCCTTCATGCCTTTTAAGGTTGATGTTTATAAAAAAGTAAAAATATCAAAAATCAAACAACTTCATTGACTGAATACCTTTTTAAAAAGCCATATTCAACTCTCTCTCAAGCTTGATAGTTACTGAGCTATGTTGAACAGGACTCAAGACCTCCTGAGCAATGAGTCAGCTCGGCAGGTCTGTGATGTGTCCATCCACTGTTTTCTACCATGCTGTGTAGTGACTGAAGGTCAGGAGACATGAATTCAAGTTTGCCCTTTCTCTTCTTAGCCTTCTGAACTTCAGCAAGTCAGCTAACTTCTTAGAGCATTGTTTTTTTGTTTTTCATCCATTAGCTCTAGATTCCAAAGAGAGCTGTTTTGAGGATTATAGGAGATAAAGTAGATAGAATTGCTTTTTTTTTTTTTTTTTTGCTGTACTGGGGCTTGAACTCAGGGCTGACACCCCAAGCCACTCTACTAGCCGTTTTGTGTGTGATGGGTTTTTCAAGATAGGGTCTCACGGAACTATTTGCTCAGGCTGGCTTGGAACCACGATTCTCCTGATCTCTGCCTCCTGAGTAGCCAGGATTACAGGTGTGAGATCAGTGCCCAGCATAGAATTGCTTTTTAATCTATTCTGTGCAGAATAGGATTGTTTTGCTGGGCTTATGAATGACCAACCCACCAGCCCAGGGGGAGTTCCTATGGAAACATATTCTTGCCATTCACCTTTTCAGCATCAAGAGAAATTGTTGGTCTGGCAGAGCCTAGAAAGTGCGAGGCCCTGAGTTCAAACCGCATTGCCATCCCCCAACCCCCAAAAAGAGAGAAACCATTGAAAACAAAAGCCATGTAACTCCAGTATGTCTATCACAGTATGTCAAAGCTTTGCTCTGTCCTTGGGTCCCTGCTGGCTCTGAAGGAGCAGCTCCAGCACGGTGAGACTGGGTGTTTCTCCACTAAGAAGCACATGGTTTGCTCTGCTGGTGGCAGCACTTCCTAGCTCCTCTGCCTCTCGATGGCTCCTCTTTGCCACCATGTGCTCTACCCTCTTGCACAGACATTGAATTTATTGCCTTGATTTTAAGCCCCACCTCTGTGCTGATGACCCCCAACTTGTCTTTGTGGCCTGTGCCCCTCCTGGGAGCCTCCAGGGACTGAAAATCCAACATACTCCAAACTAAACTCTGCACTAGTCTTCCCTTCCCACTTCCTAATTCCCACCCAGCTTTCTCACTTTGCCCCTCCTCTTCCTCTCATGGCATTGCTTTGGTTCAGGTCCCACCATCTCTTGCCAGGACAAATTGTAGCAGTCCCCTAACTGGTCTTCCTGCCTCCTCTCCTTTTTCCTTGTAAGCTATGGTCCACTTCAGCTGCTTTATAGGTGCTTGCTCCCTGACCAGGTCAACCCCTCCTCCCATTATTCCCCTTAAGTGGCTTCCTGCATTAAGGGTTCTTGGAGAGGAATCCTGATCACCGCTCCATCTTCACCCTTCTGTCTCCCATACCTGCACATAGCATCTCAGTGTTTCCAACCAAAGTCACTTGCAGTTCATGCTCTCTCTCACATGTTTGCTTTTAACATGTGCTGCCCCCTCTTGCCTGGAAAGCCCCACCTCCTCAGAGGCCAGAAGCTCTGTTGCCACCCCCTGCATGTTGGGCAGGAAGTCTCCTCTTTCTCCTTTCTATTTCCCCCTACTTTATCCTGTTTTGATAAATAAATCCTTGCTAAACTTTCACCTGGTTGTTTCCTTTTTTTGTGAAACCCCTCAAAATGCTTTTTGTTGTGGGTTTCAAGTTTCTGTGATTTGCATGGAAATGGGAAGCTGGGTGGAAGTTTCTCCCCCATTCTCTCCTACTGGGGATTCCTTCTTTCTTTGGTGACAATTTCAGTTTTCTACATGGGGAGATACCCAGTTTTCCCAGCACCATTTGTCAAAGAGGCTGTATTTTAGCACTTTTGACAAGAATCAATGCCTGGGTTTACTTCTGTGTCCTCTTATTCTTTTCCAGTAGTCTACATGTCTGTTTTTGTGCCAGTATCATGTTGTTTTGTTACCATGCTCTGTAATACAATTTGAGATCAGGTACTGTGATACCTCCAAGATTACTCTTTTTGCTCAGGACTGCTTTGGCTATTCATTTTTAAATTTTGAACTAAAAAAAAAAAAAAAAAAAAACGAATGAATAAGAAAGGAATGAGAGAAGACAGTAAACAGGTCCAGCATTTCTTTCTTTCTTTTTGTGGCACTGGGGTTTGAACTCAGGGCCTCATGGTTGCTAGAGCCACTCCACCAGTGCAAGGTCCAGCATTTCTGAGTGCTGCTTGGTACCTGAGCATGTGTCTAGGTTGAGAAAAGAGTGGGATCGGGGCAGCTGGAGGGGCTCAGGTTTGGTGGTGATGGAGGCTGGAGTTGGCCTTGCAGGCTGGCCAGGAGGAAGGAGTTTGAGGCAGTGGTGAATGTTAGGTTAGTTGTACAGCAGGGTGCTGTCCAGGGTACAAGTTGAAGTGCTTCCTGGAGAAGCTCTGACTACTTGGCAGTTTGGGCTCTGGCTTTATCATTATGTGCTCAGAGCTGGAGAGGCCTTCCACAAGCGCTAGGATAGCAGACTAGGACAGCTGGCTTGAAAAGCTGAGTGGCCCCTGGGGCAGGTCGTGCCATTTGTGCTCATTTTCCTCAGGAGCCAATGGCTTCCTAAGTTGTCTCTCAGTTGCAAGGACTCTAGAACCTCCCATTTCAACCCTCTGATGCTTGAAAGTTCCTCCTCTGAAACTTGCTTCCCTGTCCTTCCCCAGTCCCAGACCAATGGAGGCTCAGCCCCACAGGTCTTTCTGACTTCCTCCTCCCAGAAGGCCAGTGAAGCAGTGAGAGCAACCCCAACACTGGGCGCCCCCACTCTCTAAGCCAGTAGGCATCTGTCTGACAGTATTCTGAGAAGAGGAGTCCGGTCTTCCAGTTTGTGTATCCTGCAGGGCCTCGCCTGGCTAGGGGAACACTTTCTAGAATAGAAATAAGCGCTGCTCTGGTTTCTTGAGTCAGTGTTTCCCAGAGGGTCAGTTTCAAACCAAAAAGAAGGTGGGTAGGTGGTGGGTTGTAGGGGGTGGCAGGGCGCGGAGCAGCGTCTACACATTAACTCAGTCAACCCCACAGTCACCTTGGAGCGGGTTATCCCCATCTTACGGTCACTGAACAAGGTCAGCGGCAGCGGGGTGAGTGGACAGCGGGCTTGAAAGCGGCTGGGCTAGGTGCTCCCGGCCTCTGCCCGGTGGTCAAGTTCAAGGTCCGGGGCGAGCTGTGGGTCCCCACTGGCATTCTCTGGGCCGGCGGGGTTTGCTGCCCCTTCGCCGTCCCGCAGCTTCGCCCAGGGCCTCCCGGGCTCCTGGACGACCAGCTCCCATCGGAGCAAGGGCCTCGAGGGCACCTGTCCCCGGGGGGCGCCGCCCGCTGACAATCGGGGAGCTGGCGATGGCGACCACCCCCCCTCCGGGGAAGCGCTGCAGGACGGACAGGGGAGGGAGGTGCGAGGTGCTGGGGGGGGCGGGGTGAGCACTGTCGGCCCGGGGCGGGGAGGGGGGCGCCGGGACGGGGCGAGCCGGGGGTGGCAGGGGCGGGGCTGGGCCGGGACGCGGCGAGCCCGGGGGCGGGGGCAGGGCCGGGGTGGCAGGGGCGCGGCGCGGCGGGGGGCGCAGGGGCGGCGGCGCAGGGGCAGGGCCAGGGCGGGACGTGGAGTGGAGGTGGCAGGGCCGGGTCGGGACTGGCAGGGTCCGGGCGGGGTGGCGGGCGCGGCGCGGCGGGGGGCGCGGGGCCGGGGCGGGGCGCGGCGCCGCCGGAAGCCGGGGCGGGGCGGGGCGCCCGGTGCTGTGCGGCGCAGGCGAGCGGGGCGGCGCGGCGATGAGCGCCTCCGCAGCCACCGGCGTGTTCGTGCTGTCGCTCTCGGCCATCCCGGTCACCTACGTCTTCAACCACCTGGCGGCCCAGCACGAGTGAGTGAGCGGCCGGCCGGGCGGCTCGGCGCGGTGGGGCTCCCGGGGCGACTTTCGGAGCCTCCCGCCCGCCCCGCGGGCTGTGTGCGGGGCTCGCCCGCCCTGCCCCAGCTCGGAGGCGCCCGAGGGTCGCACGTTGGGGACTTCAACCGGCGGCGCTTGCCGGGCGCTGGGCGTCCGCTCCGTGCCAGCGCCTAGCGGGGTCGCGGGGTCATTGTCAATGCGGCAACGCTCCTGCCCTGGACTGGGGGACCTGCGGGGGCGGAATGAACACGGACCCCGCGCCTGGCCTTGCTGTCCGAGCGCCTTGGTCCCATTTCGCAGGGACGTTCCCATGTATGGACTTTCTCGTACTCCCCGGTCCTTGATTTTAGGCGCTGTTGTGAATGACTAGCAGAAATAGCCCTGGCGGTCCCCTAAACGCGTGGCCTCAGTTTTCGGGCCTGTCGAGTGGACTGGGCTGTATCTGTGTCCTCTTGGAAGGGGTCAGCAGGAACCGTTTGGGAAGGGTTGGGGGCTGGAGCAGGGGCGCGGGTCAAGGCTGGGGAAGGAGATGGGGAACCGAAGGAGGCGCACAGGCTTTGGATGGCAGCCTTGCCTCCCTGTCCTCCAGAGGGACCACGGCCCCCACCGCCACCGGCCTGGGAGGACCGGGGTCAGGCGCCGGCCTCCCCGGGCTGATGTTGGTTTCTGGCCATGGGGAGGAGGAAGGAACCTGTTAAGTTCCTCAAAGCCTTTGGTGCTAAGGAAATTACATCAGTCCCTACCCTGCACACCCTTTCCAGGCTGCAGGGAGGTGTCTGCGCGCAGAGCATGGCTTCTTCATCCAGACAGCACTCATACTGAGCCCTCACCAGGAAAGGCAGCGCTTGCCCTTGGTCTGATCCGGTCTCTGGGTTCATCTCCCAAAAGGCAGCTCTGGGCAGCCACATGTTCTGTGCCTGTCAATATAGTGCATGGGGACCCTGTGCTCCTAAGGAAGCGTTAGGAACAGTTCAGTGACGGCCACAGACGCAGGTGTGGGGGACGTAGCTATGAACGGGCCAGAAAAGGCTGGGTATGGAAACAGACACCAGCAAATGTGCTATGAAGACAGTACGATAGGTGACTAGGAAGGGGACTAGTGGTCAGTGGAGGCTCTTTGGAGGAGGTGACTCTTTATTTTTGGTTACTGCAAGATCTGAGGACTGAGCCTTTGCACACAGAGACAGGAGCAGTGCAGGGGAAGGGTTGCATTGCAGCAGAGAGGGTTTGAGAAGGTTTGGGCCCCAGCCCAGGGGAAGGTGGTGAGGACATTTTTGAGTGCACACATCAGATGGATGGCTGTGCGTTACTGACCACACAATTTGTTCCAGCCATTCTTCCCATCCTACTGTGGGTTAAAATCCCAGTGGTCCATGGCTCCTCCCTCCTCTTTCTCCACGCTCTTCTTTTGTCCCCTTCCCCACAAGTCCCCACAGACTGGTATAGTGTCGGCTTCCTCCTTTCCCTTCTCTCTGGCGCTGGCCCTCTCTGACTTGGATTGTGGCAAAGGCTCCTCCAGTATGCACCACCCCCCCAGCCCCCTGTTCATCTTTGAGCCTCAGCCCACCACACTAGTGCTTCAGCTGCACCCCTGAACACCCTACACCCTGGGTGCCTCCTGCCTCCCCACCTTTCTCTTTGCTGACTTTGCTTTAGACTCAAAGTCGAATGTTGCCTCTCCTTTGGGTAGACCCTCCCTCCAAGTGAGAGAGCTCTGTCAGCCCAGTGACTGTGTGACTAGGGTGTCCCTCCCAGCTGCAGCTCCCTTGGCACTGCCCTGCCCAGCCCTGTGCACAGTAGCTTTCCTGTCTCCCCACTCCCTCTGGTACTGGGGTTTGAACTCAGGGCTTCATGCTTGCTAGGCAGGTTCTCTACCATTTGAGCCACTCGAGATGGGATCTCATGAACTGTTTGCCTGGGCTGGCTTTGAATCTTGATCCTCCTGATCTCTGTCTCCCGAGTAGCTAGGATTACAGGCGTGAGTCACCATACTCAGCTATGCTTACTTTCTTAATGTCAGCTGCTTTCCCACCAGGCTTTGTACAAAAATGAGGAAAAGAAAAAACAAATGGGTTGGGGGGTCAGGAGAACATTAGGGCAGTCTCTCTGTCTTGTATACACCCACAGCTCTCATCTATGCCTGCCCCCTCTCAGTAGGTGTCTGTTCATAAAAGGACATCAGTAACCCTCTCCCACCTCCCAGGACTGAAAACCTTTCCACCTTTGGGTTAGTTGCAACCCCCCAGTCCCTGTTAGACTCATTTCTGCCTGTTTTGAGCAGGTGCTGCACTTGGCTGTCCAGGAGGGTCTCTAGGGACAGTGTTGGGAGGCAGAGGTGACCTGCCGCCCTAGTTTCCACTCTTTTGAAAGGACGCTGTGAACCAGTTCACATTCCCTTCTCCAGTTCCAGAAGCTCACGGCCCTGCGGCCCTGCTGCACTGTGAGCTCAGCTCAGACCTTGCTGCCCGCAGGGAAGGGGCTGCTGCCGCCCTGCACCTGCCTCAGGACACTTGCATTAAATCCCCTCCAGCTTACAGGGCACGCCCCACCTCTCACATCCCACTGGATGCTTCAGCCCAGCGCCATGGCCTTGACCCAGGTCAGCTTGTACCTTTGGGAGGAGCCTGGCCCATCCCTGATGTCCACAACCATCCTCTTTCTTATCACAGATTCCATCCATCCATCCATCATCTACCTCCCTACCCATCACCCATCAACTTGTCCACCCGTCCATCACCTATGTCTAGCTGTCTGTCTGTCTATGTATCATCTGTCTGTCATCCATCAACCTATTAACTCATCCATCTTATCCATCCATCACTCCTCCTAGGGGATATGGTGAAGATTTTCCAAAGATCCTACTGCCAGGTGGTGGTGGTATGGAGAGGTCTCAGCCGGAGTGCTGCTTCTGGATCTGAGGGGATGTGAGGAGCTTCTGGTGTAGCAGGTAGTCAGAATGAGCCAGGTCTTTGTCTAGAACTGGAAGCTCTATCAGTGCTGGAGGCATGAGAGGTTGAATATCTCTGTAGGACTGGAGGTGACTTTATGGGTGGTGGAGGTCAGAGCCCATCAAGATAGGTTCCTCTTCCTGTAGATGGGGGTTTCTTTTGTTCATCTGTTACCCCAGGACCTACAACAGCGCCTGCCACGTCGGGCTGCACAGTGCACTCCTTCCCTCTGGAAGGTGCGTGCAGTCACTACAGTCACTGATGCTGCCCAGGTTCAGTATGAGGGTTTGTGACTGGCCTGAGGGAGGTGGCAGATTCCATAGTTCAGGCTCTCAGCTGCCAGGGGGAGGGGCTGGAGGAACAGGTAGGTAGGAGAGTGGCCTGGTAGCCACATGAGGGGCACGGTGGGGGGCGGAGGCAGCTCCAGACATGAGATCTGCACATGATGCAGCGGGACATAGGGTGATGGTCTTTTGACCATGAGCCAACAGGAGAAGAGAACGAGGGCTTGGGGCTGTGTCCCTGCAAGTCACGAGGCTGTGGCCAGACAGGACAAGTGCTACAGATAAACTTCACCGAGCATATCGTGCTGTAGGCAGAGGCAGAATTAAGCATGAATTATGCAGCGCTGGGAGCAGTTGCTTTCGACAGTCAGGAAATTCCAGGCACTATTGTGTTTACTCTGCCAAGTGACCACCTCCCTGTTCTGGTTGTTGCAGTGCCTGGACAATCGTGGGGGCTGCTGCCCTCGCCCTGCTCCTGGTGGCACTGTTGACGCGTGTCCTCGTCAAAAGAAAACCGCCCCGGGACCCACTCTTCTATGGTATGTGTCCTGGGAGGCAGGCGCTTGCATTGCTCTTTAGTCACGCACTCCTCTGCACTCGTAAATGCTACTGGTCACGGTGGCTGGGAGTGTAGGAGTGTGGCAGGACCTGTTGTGGCCCTTATCTCCAAGCTGTGGCCCCTCCCAGGTGGGATCTGGGGTGAGGGTTACTGCCAGGGTTGGGCCAGCCTCCGTCATCACCCCTGGGCGCCCCCAGTGTGCTCTTGCCTCTACGTCCTTGCTGGCCTTCCTGCCTGGCACAGCCAGGACAGGGGACTTGCTGTCCCCTTTGCCTGCTGTGGAACTAGCTGCACTGTGCCTCAATCTGCTATCTGGCATTGCCTGCCATGGGCACCAACATGAAATAATGTAGTATTTCTCAGGTACTTACATCAGCGCCTGGCAAATACACAGGTAGTCAAATAAAAAGGCATTGATTGAACACCTGCAGAGTCTGTGAGGCTCTGAGTACTTCAGTTTTGTTTTATTTAATCCTCACAACAAACAGCCCTCCATACATCACGTTAAGTGAAGTAAGCCAGGCTCAGAAACACGAAAGACGCATGTTTTCTCTCAGACATGGAAGACAGATCCAAAGATAAACATATACACAAAAAGCAGCACGATCACACACAAACTCAGAGGTAGAACGTGTTGGCGACAGTGGAATTTCTCTATGGAACTTGGGGAAGAGGGAAAGGAAGAGAGAATGATAGGGCATCAACAATATCATAAAACATAGCATCTGTGAAGGGAGAGGACACAAGGATGTGTACTGAAGGCTGTTGCAGAATGGGGTGGGAGGTAAAGGGGTGAGGAGAGAAATGGAAAGGGTCGAATGGACCAAAGTAAAGTAGACTCACAGCGGGGTACACTGAGAAAACCCTCTGAACATCAACTTCAATATTAATAATGAAAGACAGGATTATAAAATAGGCACAGTGTGTGTGGAAGGGTACTGGGGGGAGGGTAAATGAAGATTAAGGTGAGGGTATACGGTGGATGGACTTCATATACCTATATGAAACAGAACAGAGAACTCTCTTGCAATTGCTTTAAGTGTGAGGGGGGTTGAGGGGAAGAGATGCCAATGTATAATATAAGCCTATTTGGAATTGTCACTATGAATCCCCATGTGCAATGAATAAATCCTAAAAAGAAAAATCTTAAAACACATAGCCCTCCATGCGCAAAGGAAGACTCTCAGAGATGCAGAGTGAAGTGGTTAGGGTCACAGAGCTAGTGAAAATGGCGCTGACCCCAGAGCCCTTTCCCTCCCTCCCTCCCTCCCTCCCTCCCTCTCCTCCTTTCTTCCTTCTGCAGTACCGGGGTTTGAACTCAGGGCCTCGAGCTTACTAGGCAGGTGCTCTAGCACGTGAGCCACACACCGCCTCCCCCCCCCACTCTTTTTTGCTTTAGTTATTTTTCAGATAAGGTCTAACATTTTTGTTCTGAAACATTACTTTTTTGCTCACAGGGCTGTGGGTTGGCTGAGCCTTTGTGCTTCAAACTGGACTGGCTTTGGGGGTGTTCCAGGTGTTCCCCAGCAGCTCCCCACAATGCCTTCCTCATGACAGACCCAGAGGCACAGAGGAGCGGGTGGTGGACTCAGCTTGGAGCTGTCACTTCCACCCCCATTCTAGGGCCAAAGCAAGCCAAGTAGCCGAGCCATCATCAAAGGTGTGGGGAACCTCCTCCACTCACCTGGGGCTCAGCTCACACACAAAAACTCCCAAGCTTAGAAAATGCCTGCAACTTGGTGAAGGTCTCCAGGCTGGTAGGGGAGCTGAGCCCAGCTGTGTGACTTCGAAGCCATGTCTCTTCCTGCCTCCTGCTGTGACTGGCGGTCTCCTGCTGCTGTCTGCCCCTCCTCTCTCTTCCTGCCCCACACAGCCCACACCTAACTTACTGGTGTGTCTCCTTCACCCTCTGCCTTCTGCCCTTGGCATACCGCAGCCTCCCAGTCAGGTCATGGCCAGGATCCTTGCCCACTAGGAAGCAGAGACATGTCCTTGTCATCTCTGAGACAGCATCTGACACTGCTGTCGCCATCCGCAATCACTGGCAGATGGAGAATGCCCCTTTCCTGGGAGATGCAATGTGGTAATCACCTGGGGGTGTCATCAGGAGGTGATGCCGTCTGGGAGAACTGGGCTGTAGGCCTCCAAGGAGGCACAGGGAAGGCTTGGGCTGCAGGCAGCACACACATGCAAGGCAGGGTACACATGGGCCTTTCACTCCTGGGGGAGAGGCGAATGCTGGACTTGGGGTCACAGACTGGGTGAGGCCAGCTTCCCTTCTCTGTGGGTTAACCCCACCCTCACGCTCTGCCGTTGACTTTTTTTTTTATAGCTTTACATTTAATTGACACTGGGCACTGTGGCTCATACCTGTAATCCTAGCTACTCAGGAGTTGCAGGTAAGGGAAGATCGCCATTCAAGGCCAGTCCGGGCAAAAAATTAGCAAGACCCCATCTCAGCCAATAAAAACTGGGCGTGGAGGTGTGCACCTGGCATACCAGCTACTTGGGAAGCATAAAAAGGAGAACTGCAGGCTGATAGAGTGATTCAAGTGGTAGAGCGCCTGCCTAGCAAGTGTGAGGTCCTGAGTTCAAACCCCAGTACTGCCAAAGGGGAAAAAATTGCTGCCACTTGAAAATATAGCTTTCTTGAGACTCACCTGGGTTGCCTTTGCTGTCCCGTTTGAGAAGTGCTCTTCCCTCGCCCTTTGCTGTGGTTTGAAGGCCTTAGGAGTTTCTCTGAGATGATACTTAAACTGCAGCACCTTCACTTGGTCTTAGCCAGAGGTGGAAAAGCGACCCAACTGTTCCATCTTCTGTGCATTCATTTTTTAAAAATCTCCAGTCTCAGTTCTTAAAGCTGTTGTCATTTCCGTACCAGCCCCCTGTGTTTTCAGCTCTCTGGTATGCCATGGGCAGGCAGGCCGGGCACCCTGGGATGGCCTGTCTCGGAGATGAGCCCCTCTTCTAAGTTGTTCTTTTAAATCTGGTGGTCACCTGTGTGCCACTCTGGCTACCTGGCTGCTGGCTTTGTCCCCACCGCCCAGGTGGGATGTGGGTTTTGCTCTGGGCAGCCACTTGAGGGAAGTGGGGGATAGTGGGAGATCTTTTTTGGCTAGCCAGCCGTGACTTTGTCGTGTGTCCCCTTGGGTGAGGACTGGGAGATCTGTGAAGACAGGCTGTGGTCTATGTTGACAGTTCCCACAGCATCTTCTGGAAAAACACGGGAAACACGGTAACAGATGAGTGCCCAGCTGTTAGCGACGGCGTCCCACACTGCTGAGTTCTAACTCCCTTCTTTCTCCAGTGTACGCGGTGTTTGGCTTTACCAGCGTGATAAACCTCATCATAGGACTGGAGCAAGATGGCATCATTGATGGCTTCATGACTCACTACCTGAGAGAGGTACGGGGTAGCAGGGAGGGTCCTCAACCCTTGCCTTTACGGGAAAGGCTCCATGCACAGTGTGTCTCCTAGCGGTTTACGCGTGTGGCCAGGGAGGCCAAAGGTCAGATGAGGCCACGAGAGGCCCCTCTTCAGCTCTCGAAACTCCTCCCTCACTCCTGACCTGCCACAGACCTACTTGTTCCCTTTAACTGAGGAACTGCAAATGAATAGTGTTGCGTGTCATAATCTCAGAAAGCCCAAATGAGTCTTAAACTTGAACAAGGTACTTAAGCTATATGGTAGCTACCCCCATCATAGCACTTGAGGAAGCTGGTCCTATTTTCTCCCTGTACAGTGGGCTGAATGGAGCTCCAGAGAGGTTATGTGACTTGCTCAAGGTCACACAGGAAATGAGCAGAGCTGAAGGTGAGGTCTTCACCTGTGTTTCAGATGATAGGGAGCTTTGTGTGCCATGGAAGAGAGTTTGGCTGCTTCCTGAGTGTGAGTCGGGAAAGGAAGTAGTCAGCTCTGGGAAGGACGGGTTTGCAAGGACAGGTCAGTGTTGAGCTATGGCACCAGTGAGGAGGCTTCTACAGGGCCAGCAAGGTATGAGGGTGGCTAGATGGAGGCAGTGCAGGGGAAATGGGTGAGCTTCAGAGAATTTGGCTGGAATGAGTAGGGGTTGGGGATGAGTTGGGGTGAGGGGGAGGGTAAGGTCCAGATGACTTCCTGATTCCTGCTTTGGAGTTTGGATGAATGCTGGTGTTACTAAGTCAGGGAGGTACAAGAGGAGGAGTTTAGCTCTGCAGACAGATGTTGACCTAGACTTGGATCACATACCTGCGTCCTGGCCCTCAGGAGTCCACCAATGTGGCAGGGAGATGGTGCTGTCCTCGGCGTGGTGATGATCTCACTCTGCCCACAAAGGAATCTACCCTGGAACACTCAGGAAGACCTCCCTGAGTTGGCAACACTGCTGCAGCATTCTGAAGTGTCAAAGGGACAGGAGCATAAATGTGTCTGGATGGACCAAGGAGAAGGGGCAGCGTGGGCCAAAGCTTGGAGAGGAGAAATGGCTGCAGATTTGCAGGGATGCAGCCAAGTTCACTGGGGGATGAGTTTCAGGAGCTTGGGGGACACCACGGCCGATGTCCCAGCTGGCAGGGCTTTGCAGGTCTTGAGCTGGGAGGAACAGTCTGGGTAGAGATGGAGAGGCCTTCGGGCTAGTTGGCTCCTGCAGGTGTGAGAAGAGAGGCGCTTACACGGGATAAGGCGGAGAGAGAAGAGTGGCCAGAAGAGGAGGAGTCTCTGACCAGAGGCTGAAGTCCAAGGAGGGAGGCGGCTGCCCAGAGGGCTGAGGCCAAGCTGGCAAGGGTGGCAAGAACTGGGGCAGATGGAACATGACAAGGAAAGCTGGTACAGCAGTAGCAGTTCTGCCAGGCTGGGCTCTGGGGACCCTGGGCTACATAGAGGAGCAGGGCATGGTCCTGCAGGCTGTGGGAGTGCAGAGGGGAGTGACATGCCAGGACTCGGGCCGCAGGGCTCTTCATCTGGCAGTGGGAACATGGTGAATGGATAGAGGGGAGAGGGACAGGAACAACATCCGGAGAGGTAGCACTGAGGGACGTTGAGGGTTTGACCTGAGCTGTGATAGAGGAGGGTTCCCTGGGGTGACATCTTAGATAAACCGGTAAGATTTGCTAAAGGCTGCTTGGGAGAGCAAGTCATGGGGGTGACCCGTGGTTTAGAGTGATCCCCCTCTAAGGCCAGGTAGGAGGTTGGATGGGGGAGAAGCTCATAAGTTAAAGGAGTTGAGTTTGAAGGGCCCCTGGGCCATCCAGTTAAAGTGTCCTTAGGTTGCCAGGAGAGGCCCATGCTGGCTCTGAGAGCTGGAGGTGTTGCATGAATGACTGAAGCCAGCAGAGGTGGAGCATGCAGAGCGATGGGGAGGGCCAGGCATAGGTGTACACGTACAGCTTTGGTGGCATGTCCTTCTCCACTGTGATCTGGGTTTGAGTTGATTCGTGGGGAGACATGGAGCAGTCCTCACCCAGGGGAGCCGAGACTGAGAGAATGCCTTGCTCGGCTGGCTCGTGGGTAGACTGTGTGATCTGTGCTCCTCCCTCCTGGGGAAAGGACTTTGGGCACATTATGGAGATGTGAACACATGCCAGGAGAGGGCACAGGTGGGAGAAGGAAGACGGGGAAACAAGGGTGGCTGTGATTTTTCTGGCAGCCACCTGGAAATGTAACCAGCTGGAAACTAGAAATGAACATTGTCAAAAAAATAAAAGTTTCTCATGGAATTTCTTGGTAGTAGTCTCTGCTCCATGTTAGCTATGTGACCCGGGGCAAGTTTTGTCACTTCTGTTTCCTCATCTGTAAATGGAGTCAACAGTGCTCATCCCGTAGGGTTGTTGGGGAGACGGAGTAAGACGGAGTCTAGCACTGTCTGTCTGCAGGTCTGGAAGATGTCCCGTGGCAGGCAGACGCAGGGTGAGCACAAATGATTAAGGCCAGCCAGAGGCTCTGGTGAGTGGGGTCTCCTCTGGCCACACAGCCAGGACTGCCCGCACTACACCTCTGCTTTGTACAGCCCCGTGTCGATCCGTCTGAGGCCAGCAGCTCAGGCTCCTCTTAGGTGACGCCTGTGGTTTCGGTAACGCTGCAAGTGTGCGGCCTGACAGTTAGGCAGAGGGTCTGATGTTAGGCCAATGCCAGTGAGCGGTGCTGTTTCGTTTTACTTGTGATGCAGGTCTGGGCTGTGCGTTGAAATGTCTGAATCTTACTTAAAGTGCATTGTTTAATGCTTTCCACAGGGCGAGCCGCACCTGAACACCGCCTACGGGCACGTGACCTGCTACTGGGATGGCTCCGCCCACTATCTGATGTACCTGGGGATGGTGGCAGCGATAGCGTGGGAGTAAGTAAGTCAGTTCGCCTGGCGCTGTGCCTTTGCCACCGTAGGCCAGTGTGTGCGCACAGAGGCAAACACAGGCAGGTCCGCCTGGCCGTGAGTACAAGTGCCACAGCTACCAGTTGGACGTGGCTTGATTTTCCTTCGGCATAAATGTGTCCCCCACATAGTGACAACGGAGACAGAGCGGCCCCTCAGCTTGCGGGTTATGTTTTCAGGGTAAAGCCAGCACATTCGAATTCAAAGCTTCACCCTCATTCCAGTCCAGATGGCTCAGAAACGGGGACCTGTACTCAGGATCCCCCATCTCTGTCTGTCACACCCCCATCTCTGTAGCTGGCTTCTCTGGGAGTAAAGGACAGGGGAGTGTCGCGTGACAGTTGCTGGGAATGCCCTCCACTGGAAAGTGCTAGCTGTCTCGTGGGACACACAGGTGGCTCTCTGCAGACCCTGAAGGCAGGAACCTTACATTGCAGCAGTTCCTGAAGCCAGCGTGCTCTCTGGCTGAATCTGTGACGCCCCACCCACCGTGGTTTCCCGCAGCTGCTTTCAGCATCCCGGAAGGCACACTTTCGGGGAGGGTTCTTCCAGGATGGCTCAAGCCCAGCTACCTTCCCCAGCCTCCACTTGGCTCCAAGTTAGAGAAAGTCACACATTTCTGCCCAAAGTTGAAACGCAGCTCGATTGGCTACTCCCCGTCCTCTGCCGCACTAAAGGACCGCTCCTGTTTATTCTTGTCTGTCCTGCAGTAAGCCAGACCACTGTGAATGGCCCTGTGTGGTTGGCTGCATGTGGCATGAGGGCTGGGGCTGAGCAGAAAACGTGTGTTCCCTACTTCTGTGTCCCTTCAGAGAACCTCCCTGTGGACTCCCCACAGCCTCTTACGTGGCATGGAGTTACCAGCCGAGGGAACATTCTGCCAGTGTTGAAGATTTAGCTGTGTACGTCCTGAAGCTCCTTTAGAATGGGGCATGGTTCACGAAGTCTCTCCATCTTTGGAGTATTGACCAAAATCCTGTATTGCCGGGGAAAGTCCACCTCACATCCTGTTACCCATACTTCCAGTGGTTTAAAATGCGAACCCAGAGTCCTGTCTTCTTTGAACGTTCTTTCCCCTTCCATGCTGTTTCATGCATAATGGGGACATTCAGGAGTCCTGCGGTAGCAATGACTGGACTGCAGATCTTGTACCAAGCACAATTCCTGTTCTTTTTTTTTTAATGGCACTAGGGTTTGAACTCAGGGCCTCATGCTTGCTAGGCAGGTACACTACCACTTGAGCCACTCCGCCAGCCCTTTTTGTGTGTGTGTGTGTGTGTGTGTGTGTGTGTGTGTAAGTTGGGTATTTTCAAGATAGAGTCTCACAAACTATTTCCCTGGGCTGGCTTTAAGCCACGATCCTCCTGATTTCTGCCTCCTGAGTAGCTGGGATTACAGGCGTGAGCCACCAGCACCAGACTACAGTTCTTGTTCTAGATGACACTAAGAAGGTTTACAGTATGGCACATGCACACATTGTTTGGTCACCAGGATTCCCTATGCTTGATACTCTTGACTCAATGAGCTTGTTTTCATGTACGTCACTCGTTAGAGTAAAAGCAACACTGGGGATTGCCAGCAGTATTGTAAGATGAGTGCACTAAGCAGGATCGTTCCTTACAGGGAAAGTTACAGAACCATTGGCCTGTACTGGGTTGGATCCGTTATAATGAGCATTGTTGTTTTTGTGCCTGGAAACATTGTAGGTAAGAAACTTTACCTTAAAACTCACTTTTCTTTTCTGTAATTCATGTTTTTTGTAAATGTAGAGTTATTTTGCTTTGAATAGAACCAAGAGACTCTAAGCTTATAAAAAACTGCTTTGCGAAGTTACCCGCTCCCCACTCTGTGACCTTGCCTTTTAAGATGTTTTCTGAGCAACTTTCAGAAGGTGTGTGAGCAGTGGGGTCAAGTGTCAGTGATTCCTGACTCTTTTCAGGGATCCAGAGAGACTGACGAGGCATTTGTAGCTATGTCACTGTGAGAGGATTTCTTGGAACTTCTTTACGTTATTTGCAACTCCTGACACACCGGGAGAACTTAACAGACATATTTGGAAATTAAGACTCTTGACGGCTAATGTAAAAGAGGTTATTTATGCATAAAATTATGAATTATATCACATATTCTTTTAATACTGTAAAGACATGCTGTTAATGGCTTTAAATTGACCTCTTTTTCTTTTTCTTTGTGTCATAAAAATATTGTCTGTTCCATAGCAGACTGTTCTTAGATGGTTGGGCATAGGGCCCTGTCCCTACCGTTACTTGTGTTTAGATGGGTTTGAGTAATCTTTTGACTCTGCCTCTTTCTCTCTTTTAAATAGGGAAGTACGGAGCACGACTTTGCCCTGCGTTTTTCTTGAGCATACCGTACACCTGCCTTCCTATCTGGGCCGGCTTCAGAATCTATAATCAGCCATCGGAAAGTTACAACTATCCCTCAAAGGTGATTTTTTAAGTTTTAATGTAACTCTTCTCAAACTCACTTATGCCCACTGGCCACCGATGGAACCGTGCGTCTGAGGAGTGGGGCGTTTAGGGTGGTGGGGCTGACTGCCGGCTGTGTGGCTTTGTTCACATCTTGGTTAATGTGGCCAGACTGTCTGCTCCTGTCTGAATATACCTGCTTCTCTCGGCCAGGTATTGCTCTCAGGAGCTTCCCTGGGCCAGTGGGCACCTTGGCTCTTACCAGGTTCTGCGTTAGAGTGCTGCAGGAAGGCAGTGTGTGGTTTGTCTGGGGTTGCAATGGCCTGGAGTTTGAGCACCTGGGAACCTCCCGAAGCGTTGGCTGGAGAGCTACTGGTTATTCGAGGGAGTCTCCATAATGCAGGGTCTGATTTCCAATTGATCCGGGCTCACAGATAGGGGCTACAGGACTCTTCTGAGGCCCCTGCCTTCCACTCTCAGCAAAGGTCGTCAAGGTGAAGCAGTGCTGGCCTGGCAGATCATTTCTAAGCTAGTAATGTCTTTCTTCTTTCTTTCCCACTGTCAGGTATTAAGTCCTTGGGCAAAGTTCTTTAAGCAAAAATGATGTGAAAATATAAATTACTAGATAATCAGAACATGATTATTTGTTTTACAAAAATATTTATAATAGAATTAATTAAAATGACTTTTTTTTTTTTTGGTTTGGTGCTGGGGATTGAACCCTGAATGCTGAGCACCCACTCTACCACTGAGCTACACCCCAGCCACAAAATGCATTTTAATTTGCACACACTTCATTTTGTAAACGTCTGATACTGCTGTAGAGACTCAGGCCGGCACACTGGCACCTGTTACTGTGCCTTCTCGCTGAGGAATGAGTGGCGGATAAAGAGAAGCAGATGATAACCCTGGCCTGAGCCTGGCTCCACTGCTTCCAGAGGCTCGCGTCAGTGTCAGCAGGGTGTCCCTGTCATGACACTCCGCCGGCTTTACTGTTATTTTTAATGCTAAAACAGCAATGGGCCCAATGAGCTTGCCACACAGGGCTGACAAGAGCATAAAGTCCGGAATCGCTTGCAAGGCAATTTAGCAGTGCTGTCACCCTTCAGCCTGACCGCCCTCACTGGGGGCCCATCCAAGAACGCCATTAGAGAGACACTGTCCACGCTTGACTACGAGTGAAGTGTAACTGTGGCTCGGGGGGTAGAGCACCTGCCTAGCAAGCACAGGCCCCAAGTTTAAGCTCCAGTTTTGGAAAAAAGAAAACAAAGCCTACATATCCACTAGTGGGAGAATAGCTAAAGCGTGGCATTTTTAGATATTTGGAACTTTAATTTTTTATTTAAATTTTTAAAATATTAATTATATATGACTTATTTTACTTTTACTGACATGTACGGCACACGGTAAGGGGTTTCATCCTGACATTTCCATACATGCATAAAATGTACTCGAATTTTTAATAACATGAGAAAGCTTATAATACAGGGAACTGTTTGGTGAAAAAACAGTGCACATTTGTTTATGTACTAAATTCTGTTTCTGTGAAAGGCTGCACATACATGTGAGTGTACGTGTGCATGTACACATACACACACATACATGCATGGTGTGTGTGTGCGAATCCATCAAACAGCTAGGCCGGGAACGGCCTGTTGACTACTGAGGTGCTCAGGCAGGTTCACGCTTCACCTTCTTTTTCAGATGACGTGTCGTCCCTTTACAGTGACGCAGGAACACGCATGGATTCACAGAGCTGGAAGGGCCGTCTCTTCATTTCACAGAGGGGAGACTGGGCTTTGAGGGTGACCTGAGTCCCCACGTTCTGTGCCAGTGCCTGGTGGAAACCGTGCCTCCCAAATTCCGCCGTCACCCGACCGGGCCCTGGATGTTCAGTGGGTTTCTGGTCTTCTCTGGCCCTGGCCCTGGTCTTCAGCTGCAAACTCTATTCCAGGTAGTTCAAGAAGCCCAGGCAAAGGACCTGCTGAGAAGGCCCTTGGATCTGCTGTTGGTCATGTGTGTCCTCCTGGCGACTGGATTTTGCCTGTTCAGAGGCTTGGTAAGCGGGACAGATCAAAATAACATCATAACATGATTACAGATCAATTTCCAAATGGAAAAATCTGGAACTGTGTTCTTGTTGTTTTTTATGGGACTGGGTTTGAACTCAGGGCTTCATGCTTGAGCCACTCCTCCAGTGCTGTGTTCTTGATTTTGACCAGACTTCCCAGCAAGCAAGCTAACTGTCCATCTTCTTAGAGCTCGGAGCCCTGGACATGGTTCCCGCTGCTCTCCCGTTGTCAACTCTCCACTCCCAAGCGGCAGCTCACCCTGGGTTTTTCACACTACACCTCAGGTCCTTAGACCAGGCTCTGCCTAGAAGTAACTTCCTTCACCTTGTTTTAGGACACAGGGAAAATTAACCGTTAGAATTTCATTCTATTGGTTCCTGTGGTCATTCTCAGTTAAATGTAAGTGTCTTTGGTAAGAGTGATCCCCTGAGACTCCAGTACAGCTGTGGCACAGAGCGTCCATGTATTCTCAGGAGAAGGGTCAGTGGGGCTGAGCGTGGTAGTACACGCCTGTGATCCCAGCACTCTGGAGGCTGAGGCAGGAGGATCCCCAAGTTTGCAGTCAGCCCGGGCTCCACAGTAAGATCCTGTCTCAAAAAAACCCCCAAAAACAACAGAAAGAGAGAGTGAGGGAGGAAGGGAGAGAAGAGAAGAAAGAGGGGAGGGGAGGAGAGGAGAGGAAAGGGAGGGAGACATAGGGACAGTGGAACAAGGAAGAGGCAGATCCACAGTTCATGCATGAGTTGGTTCACTGGTAGGAGCCATGCTGATTAAGTCAAGCTCGGGTTTGGAGTCTGCGGGGATGAGAACGATAAGCATTAGGACATGTGCCTAGTTCAGGCTTTCTCCTTTCCCTTTATTCTTTCTGTGGCGTAGAGGTGACGAGAAAGCCCATAAAGGCTTTGCTGTTGGAGTTCTGGCCGTTGTGCGGCCGTAGAAAAATTACGCAGTCCCGCTGAGGAACAGGTTTCTCCTCTGTAAAACATCCCGCTTCTTCATAGTATCGCTTTGAACACTAAGCAGATAATGGGCCTCACGATCTTGGTAGAGGGCCTTATGTGACAGTTGATGCTTAAGTAATAAATGATTGCTGTCACTGTCTTAATTGATCAGTGGCCCTGCATGATGCGGTCATAATTAATTCTTAGCAGAATTCCTTGGGTAGTGGTACGCAGCTTCGGTGACAGTCACTAACGATGGTAGGCCTGTGGCACAGTCAGGGAGCCAAGTGGCAACTGCAAGCTGCTGTAACCCATGGGCCTGGGGCTCGTGGGCTATAAAGGGCCTGGGTGCCCTTCTGGGTTCAGGGCAAGAAGCTCCCTTAAGAGTTGTCTGTTTGCGGATGGTGGGAACATTCTGGAGGAGTTGGTTAAGAGGAGGAAGGGCATAGGAAAGACAAATGAAGGCAAGGCCACAGGCTTTGCTTAGACCACTGAGGCTGTTCTTTGGTTTGCTTGAATTCCCAAGTTCAAAAGACAACAGGTAATGAGAACCACTTGTGCTTGTGCACGGCCAGCTCTACTCTCCTTTGCACCTGAGAAAACTGTGTGTGCGCGTGCGTGGCGGGGGTGGCTGGGCCAGGGCCCATTTTGCCCACTGTATCACTGGCCTGTATTCCACGTTACCTAGGTCGGACAATTTCACTGATGACCAAGGACTTGAGGAGTGGCACCTGAGCAGGGAAGGTGGCCCTGAGAGGACAGTCATGTGGCAAAGACACTTGCCTGTTGGGGCGAGTCTACTCTGCTGGGATGAAATCTGCTCTTTGAAAGTGGACACGGCAGGGTGGCTTCAGACAAGAGGCCCCTGCTTTCAGATCGTTAGCCCTCACTGCCCCCAAAGGCCGTGTGCTCTTGAGGCCTTTTTTGAATCTTGCAAAGCACAGTGCAAAGGACTTGGTGTAGAATGTCTTTCCGTAGAACTAGTTGGCAAATCGGCCCAGGAAAAGTGAGAACAGCAATCTAGGCAGGCTGTGCTTTGGCCAAACCTCGGTTAACCTGCGAACACCTGCAGATGTCCAGGAACAGAGCTGCCATTTCCCTTCCTGCTCCAGTGCTACCCTCTGCTTAAGTCTCCCTGGATAACTGCAAAGCCCCTCCGTCCCCTCGCTGGGCAGCCTCTGCAAATAGAAAAGCAGCTGTGACTAAACCTGGCGTATTTACCCTTATCAGCAAACCTAAGACCCAGAAGTCACTGTATTTTTATAATGAATTCTTTTTTGTCCTTAGATTGCTTTGGATTGTCCAGCTGAGCTCTGCCGATTATATACGCAGTTTCAAGAGCCCTACCTAAAGGATCCCGCTGCTTATCCCAAAATTCAGGTCAAGAAGTTATGAACCTAAGACTTCTCTAGTGTTAATTTGCTCTTTTGTAGAAATGGGAAAATGTGGTTCCCCGTAGGAAATGGGATTAGCGTCTTTTCTTTGAAAATGTTCACTTTTTGTACTTTTGGTTCAGGCCATGCTTGTTAATCTGCCGGTGTTATTCCTGCTCCATACAGATGCTGGTGTACATGTTCTACTCTGTCCCTTACTTTGTGACTGTGCTCTATGGCTTGGTGGTCCCTGGATGCTCCTGGATGCCTGATGTGACACTGATTCATGCTGGAGGTCTGGCTCAGGTACCAAGAAGGCTGTCTTCTGAGAAAGCGTTCTGCTGATCTGGCTGTTACTGCTGGATCAGTGTTCTAGAGCAGGAGGTGGTCATGAGGTGTACTGTGTGGTCTTACAGTTCTTTAGAGAACATCTCTGTCACATACATCCTATCTAAGTGTCACGATAACCCTATGATAGCTGCATCATCTAGTTATGTGGATGAGAAAGCCAAGGTCAAGGGACGCACGTGACTTTCCCAAGGCCAGTGCAGAGTAATCTAACGGAAGTGCTGCCCGCTCTTGGAACTGAGTACCATGGGCACAGGAAAAGGATGGGGGTTGTCTTTTCCAGCCGTCTAGCTCAGTTCAGGTCAGAATGCTGCTGCACTGTGTGCTACAGGGCCAGGGAAGCTAGTTTTGAAAAGTTCTGCTCCCGGAAGCTGGGCCTGTCACCGTTCCTCCTGTCACCTGCCAGGTCCCTGACTGACAGTAGTGTAGGAAAAGCTTACTACACTGAACTGGAATTGGAATTAATACGCATCAATCATGCAATAAACATTTTTACAAGATCAGCAGATCTTCTGAATATAGAAGGAAATTAAGTAATTTTATCCTTTCTTCCTGGAAATGAAAAACTTATCCTTTTGTTTTGGTGGGACTGAGGTTTGAACTCTGGGCTTTGTGCTTGTGTCAGCTAAGCAGGTGCTCTACCGCTTGAGCCACTTCTCCATTTTTCTTAGGTTATTTTTGGAGATGGGGTCTCACACTATTTGGGCTGGCCTTGAACCACGATCCTCCCAATCTCAAGCCTTCCATGTGGCTGTGATTACAGGCGTGAGCCACTGGCGCCCTGCTGAACTCATCTCTTAAAAACCTCTTTGTCTTGCTCTTGTCGAGCAGCTGTAAGAATGTGGGTCACCCAGAAACGAAGCAAGTACAGTTAGTTGTGTCCTCGTGATACAGTAACCACGATGGCAAAGACACTACAACTTGCAGGGTTGAAAACCAGCTGCAGTTTTTATGGGGTCACTGGCCTCAACCGCTCCAGGGGCACTTGAGTATAATCAGAACGCTCCTGCCCTGGAGACCGCTGTGAGCGCCTCTGCTGCTTGCTCTCCCCGAGCCCTCAGTCCCCCGTTTCTCAGGCCTTGGCTCTGGGTCTTCATTTCTGAATGAAGATTTGGCACCTCCATTGCCAAGTATAAGCTGATGGCTTCTGATCTTTTCAGCCGCACATCGCTCCTGGACTCCTGTATTTAATTCCAAGCTTTCTCATGTCACCTGGTATCTCACTAGCATGTCAGATTTAGAGATTAAAATAGGACTCTCGATCCTCCACACTTGTTTTCCCATCATCTTTGTAAACGGTCCTTCCTTGCATCAAACAGCTCAGGCCAAAGCTGGGCCTGACTCTGCACACCTCCCTCCCTCACCCTCTACACGGGGCCCATCCCAAGGCCCGGTCAGTTCTGTTTCTAGAAGACTCTCAAATCCATCCATCATTTTCTAGCTCGCTGCCACGGCACAGGCTGAGTTCTCATGACCTTACTTTATACAGGGCAAACCACACTAGGTATTCTACATAGCCTAGTTGTGTAAGGCTTAGCTTAGCTGCAGTAACAAATAGAGCAACTTAACACAGTAAGACTGGACTTCTCACTTTGCAAGGATCATAGGGTTATTCTCATGGGGCCAGGTCCAGCACCAACTCAGCTGTAGGGGAGCTGCTCATTGTGGTCTTCTCGTGACCCCGAAGACTGAACCCAGGGTCTTGTGCACGGTAGGTAAGCCCTCTACTGCTGAACTATACTTAATGATGAGGAACTGGGGCTCAGGACAATTTGAGTTGCCTGACCAGGGTCACAGATAGTAAATGGCTGACTCCAGAGCCTCCCTCTGCCTCTGCAAACACTTAGCTGTGGCACAGGGTCCTGGGTGCAAAGCAAGACTCTGACGTGACAGGGAGGAGCTGGAGAACCTTGGGCAGGGGAGCACAGAGCAGGGAGGCAGTGGCTCTGAGGGCTGAGTGGGCCTTCATGAGGCTGAGCCTCTCCTGGGACAACACAAGGATGAGGACACGCGTAGGTAAACAGGTGCAGCAGGAGCGGGCAGAGGAAGCCTTGGCTTTTGTTTTCTTGACCCGTCTCCCTCCCTTCTTCTCCCATGTCCTCCAGGACAGGCTCCCACTCCCCTCACCCAGCCAGGCCTTTCTCTGTAGGGTCATTCAGAGTCCTAGTGCCTTGTCACCTGTGTGCTTTGCTTCACAACTGGGCTTCCTCTGCGTGCCCTGTGCCGCAGCCCCCAAGACAGGATTCTGTCCTAAGCCTGGAGGCTGTCAAAGGAGGCCAGTGTGGGCAAGTGTCAGCACAGTGGCGAAGGAGGCAGGAAACCCAAGCAAAGGCCTGGTGTAGAGAATCGTGTGGGCAAGGCGGGAGAGGGGCCATAGCTTGGGGGAAAGTGGGCTTAGACCTGCAGCAGGGAGACGAACCCGATTCCACCTGTTGATGGGGCTCACCTATGACTTCAGCGGTGGCTCTGGGAAGGGCAGCTTCAGCCAGATGGCAGGCCTTGCAGGAATCCTCAGCTTGTCCATCACTGCCCAGCTGACCAGGTAGCCTGAAGCCCACTCTCACCCGAGTGCCCTGACACAGAACCTGAGGGCCAGGTCCTGTAAACGTAAGAGGGTGCTTCTCCTACCTGAGCAGGTAAAGAGAGGCAGGCATCTTAAGAATTGGAGCCCTGGGCTGCGTGTTAATATCTGCTTACTCAGCGTTCGGCCTAAGGAAACGTTAGAAATGAGGCAGCAACAAAACAGGGCACATGGAATTACATCCTGCAACGTCTGTCCTTGGTCAGTACTTATTAGGACATGGCCTGTCATCCTGACACATGCATCAGTCTCTGTGACCCTGACCAGCACCCCTCGCGCGCTGAAACTGCCACGTCTGACCTAGAAGCCTATGCATTCACAATCCTCCTTACTTTTGTTCCACCCCAGCAGTGAAAACCAAAGCAAACAACCTTTTCAATTTATTTGCAAGACAGGGTCTCACTAAGTAGCTCCAATTGGCCTTGAATTTATAATTGCCTCTGCCTCCCGAATGCTAGGACTATAGCTGTGCCCAACCACACCCTTTTCAAAACCTTTTATTGAAAGCTGTAATAAATTCTCAAAACTATGCAATGTTGTAGGAAAAAGAATCTTTAGCTGGGCATTGGTGGTTCCCACCTTTAATCCCAGCTATTCAGGAGGAAGAGATCAGGAGGATCATGGCTTGAAGCCAGCCCAGGCATAGTTTCACAAGACCCTATCTCAAAAAGCCTATCACAAAAAAGGGCTGGTGGACTGGCTCAAGGTGAAAGCCCTGAGTTCAGACTCCAGTACTATTAAAAAAAAAACAAACAAAAAATTTGTAGGCCATCATCTTGGGTCAGTGGAAGACATGCTGATTTCAGACTGTAGGAGTCTTCCACATCTGTTGCCTTTAGAAATTAATTGAGGGCCAGGTGCAGTAGCTCATACCTGTAATCCCAGCTAATCAGGAGGCAGAGACTGGAAGGACCATGGCTTGAGACCAGCATGGACAGAACATTCTCAAGACCCCATCTCAACCAATAAAAGCTGGGTGTAGTGGTACATGCCAATTGTCCCGGCCACTCAGGAAGCATAAATAGGAGGATGTAATCCAGGTCTGCCCAGGGAAAACCTTGAGACCCTATTTGAAAAGTACCAAAAGCAAAAAAGGGCTGGAGGCGTGACTCAGGTGGTGGAGCACTTGCCTAGCAAGCATGAGGCCCTGAATTCAAACACACTGCTACCAAAAGAAAAAAAAATAAAAAATAGAAATAAAGCCAGGACACTTTAGGCAGAGTCCCACTTGGGGACTTACTCATAACCAACTACCTCTTCATACAAAAGCTTACTATAGGTGAAAGTTACAAGCCTGACTGGCAGAGTGTCACAGGTTGCTTTGATCTGCTTGTTGTGTTTTCTGTCACTGAAGTGTGGCTTTCTGGACATGCAGACTTAACCAGCTGCAGGTCACAAAGTCCACTGGGCCTCTGGTGGTCTCACCTGAACTGAATGATACGGTACAGCCGCTTACATGGAATTCACTTTCTATAAGGGTCGCGAGCAGGTGTAGATTTGGGCATCTGTGGGGTGCCCTGAGGTCCTGGAACCACTCCCCCTTGACAATGACTGAATAATCACTGAAAATGGAAAAGCAGAGCTAATACAGCTCACAGGGTGAAGAGCAAAAGCTGACGGTGACTGACTCGAACTTCTGACTCGACTTCCCGTCTACCATCCTGCACTCGAGGAGCTGGTGGCGTCTCTCACAGCGTTGCTGGAGGATGAGGTAAAGGGCTACATGACCCCGTGTGGAGCAGTCCTGGCATATCAGAGCTGTGTAAGCCTTGGCTTATCATTGGTCACTACTGGTATTAGACTTCCAGAAAGAGTTTAAGGAGAAATGTCTTGAGCGATTAATCTGTAGACAGTTTTAGGTAGGGGTATTAAATACAACTACCTAAAAATCAAAGAACCTGGGCAAAAGTGTGCGACAGATTGACAGTGGACTCCCTGCTGCCACAGGTGACAGTTCTTCCCACTCCTGCCTGTACACGGGGTCTGCAGGTCATTTGTGGACAAGCTGGCTGTGGAGAGTTGACTGCTGGAAGTGAGTTTCCTGTTTCCTTCATGGAAACCTTTAGAAATATCTGAAGGTCACGGTGCAGGCAGAGCATGGATAATTGGGACACAAATGCCATGTTCCTCATGTGCTTCCACGTAGAATCAAAGCTAGGCTTTGCACGCTTCCTGCCCCCGATGAGGTCAAGGGGTCTTCAGGAAAGTAAGGGCCTGGTCACGAACAGCTGTTGCAGTTGAGTTCTGCATCTGTCTCCAGAGTGGTCCTCCTGACAACCTATGAGCTTCTCCAGATGAGGCCACCTCGCCGTGTGTCCGGTGGAGCTGGATTGACTCTGGCACCAGCATCCAGAGACAGGGCTCTGAGCCGCTACACTAAGGCTGTTTCGAAAACCCAAAGACAAGACAGCATGGTTCTGGATTAGCCACTTACACCGTATTGGCTAAGCAATCTCAACGTCCACATTAACTCTTGCTGATAACATTCAAGTGAACACGTGCGTTTTCAGCCATCTTTTTCAGGTTTATTGAAAGACAACCTTTGTTCACCTTCATTGCCTTGTTTTGCCATTCCAATCATCCAGTCTTAAAATCAGAATAAGCTCTTAGTTAATTCTGTAAGGCAGAAAAGAATTTAGAAAACAAAAGAATGCGCTCAGGCCAGCACAGGGGGGCCTTTGTGCTGGGGAGGACGTCACTCAGGAGGCTGTGCTGTCCTGTCACCTGTGTGATTGGGAAGGGAACCCTCTTCAGTGAGGCTGAGGTTCGCCTGAATCTTCAGAACCCTGCACACTTACCACCATTCACAATGGGAGGAAGCTGTGATTGTCCCCTCAGCTGGTGGTGTGGCTGCCACAAATATCCATTAGAGTTGTGTGCGCGGTACCAGGAGCTGCACACAGGTGGTGTTGGGATTCTTCCACAGAGCGACACCTCTTCTCATCAGGAGAGTTGGAGCCCTCACTCCTTGTTTAATAATTCTCAATAAAATGGCCTACTAATATAGGTCTAGAGAAATGGCTTAAAGATCCCCCTGCCATTTCCATTTTTTTTTTTTTTTGGGTACTGGGGTTGAACTCAGGGCCTCGCGTTTGCTAGGCAGGCGCTCCACCACTTAAGCCGCTTCCTCAGCCCCTTTTGCGTTCTGACAGTCACAAGACCATGGGTGTCGAACGAGTTCTAATGACATGATAGGTGCCACACAAAACATGAGACACAGCACCTGCCCAGGGGGCTTAAAATCTAATCTAAAGACACCATTTTCTAACGCTGCCATGATTTGCTGTTCATAGATGAGGGACTAAGGGTCAGTACAGGAGCTGGGCCCACGCTCAGTGACCATGCAGGCTTCTCTATGCAAGGTGCAAGGAGGCACAACTGTTCACATTATTCTTGGAAAGTATGGTTGGCATTTTTTTCTAAATCTAATGATTTTGTGATGTGTTCAAGTGTCTAAAGATAAAGCCACCAAACCACACTTCTCAGAAAGCCAGGGCTCAGAACTGGCCTCTAGTCCAGCAGAAAAAGGTTAGTTATATTTTCAGAAAAAGTTACTCAAAGTAGGCTCTAGGGAAAAACGGACAGGAGCCAGGCTCCTATTCAGAGGTCCTACAATGTCCCCAACAGAGCTAGGCAGCCCCAAGGTGCCATTATTCTCAGGTCTTTTGCTTTAGGAGCCCAGAGATACATAGGCATCTGCTGGGTTCTTTGGGCCTGTGCTCTGGGAAGGTGTCTGAGGGTAGAGCCCGCTTGGCGTCTGGAGGAAGGACTGGGTCACGAGCTGCTTGTTGGTTCTTGGCAACATACCAATTTAACTTCTATTTCCAGAGTAGCAAACCTGTACCAGAGGTATCCAGAATGTCAGTAATTTGCAAAACTGCAGCCCATCAAAACATCTGCCATTGATACAAACTCAAAAACATGCTGTTTATAAAAGCTTGTCCTTTTCCTGTCATGTTCAAGTCAAATGGCAAGTGACACTTATCTGTTAACACATGTAAGATAAATGTACTCAGGGCCAGCGAGTTGTTCTGTTCTTCGCTACTTGTGTCTTCGGTAGGCTGTGATACTTTTTATCTTTCCACTTCTATACTGGAGAACTTGGTGAGCTAACGGTTCACTGCTTCTTACATTTAGCCCTCCAGGCCTTGATTCTCGCACATCTTGAATTTCAGCAGGGCACGGGGATGGAGTCTTGGGGCCGCGTTCTGCAGACACTGGCTTCGGGCTTCCTCAGCAATTCCCCTCTTGGCCTGCACTTGCCCTTCCTCACACAGTATCAGAAGACAAGAAAAAACTACTCACTGGCACACTTGGAATGTGTGTTGGGAGCAAGTACACAGCACAGAGGGATGCCTGGCCCTTTTGTTTTGTAAAATCCAATTATGGTAACAAGTCATTCATTTAAATTATAGTTTGAAAGAATGTCTGCATATCTATTTGCCATTTTATAAAGAACCTTATTATCCCTAGCCAAGCTGTTAACTTTATCTTACAAAGCAACCCTTAGTATTTTTTTTAAGTTGTATAAAAAACAAATACATGGGTAAATAAAAAATATATAATGGAAGGGCTTTGAGCTCTTGCTCCAAGGAATGGATGAAGGACTGATAAATGGAAGCTGGAGTTCACAGTGCTTCTCTTTAAACAGCTTGCTATGTGCTAAATGTGTTTTAGCTTTTAAACTCTACTTGATTCATTTTTATTGGAACACAATTTGTGAGACACAGCTGAGTCTGTTTAAGATCTCCAGAATACAAAGCAGAGAGAAATGGAGATTTTATTTGGATGCTTCTGTTGAATTGAGCCGTTATGGGCCCTGTGTGGGTTAGAAAATACAACTGGTATGATAAAACCACACTGAAAAAGGGCACTTGACTTGAACAGTTACACAGAAAAATGACCCTAGATTTAAGGAAAGAACATATGAAAGCTGGATTGTTTGAAGGTGCCTCGCCTGGGTTTGGAGGGACAGAGCGAGCCACAGAACTCACTGTTCATCCAAGTGAGCACGCCTTCTATGCTTAGTCTTTCTTTTTCTCTGATTTCACAGGCTCAGTTTTCTCACATCGGTGCCTCCCTTCATGCTAGAACTGCTTATGTCTACAGAGTCCCTGAAGACGCCAAAGCCCTTTTCTTAGTGCTGAATGTGGCATATGGAGTTCTTCCTCAGCTCTTGGCCTACCGCTGTATCTACAAACCAGAGTTCTTCATAAAAACAAAGACAGCTGAAAAAGTGGAGTGAAAGTATGGTTTCAGGCCCTTCTTCCGCATCATGGCAGTGGTTACACTGGTGCCGGCCCATCTCGCTCCCTTCCCTACAGGAACGCTTACAAAGACACAAATTGTTGCTGTGTACCATGTGTGGGTGAAGATACCATACTGTGCGAACAAATTTTTTTTTGATGGAAAACCAAAGTTATTCAGAAACAGCTTGTTTAAAAGAAACACATGAAAATTAGCTGGAGTGATCCCGAACAGCTATCTGAATATTCTGTTTACACATATTAAATAAATGTGTGAAAAATCACAGGTTTTTTTTTTTTTTGCCTATACTAGTGAGCATAAAAATGAAACTACTGGGGAGTAAGCCTGGCCTGTGCATATAGCACGGATTTCATGATTTCTGCATATGAACTGTGTGCATTGTCAACCTCAGTGTAGAGAAAAGGCAGATCACCACATATTTGAAGACTGTTTTCCCAAGTAAAGTCCACTATTAACTGCTTTTTAAAAATTACTTTTACTAAAATATTTTGTGTGAATCTAAATAGCTAAAGTGAGAAAGATAAACTTTACCATTACTTTTAATGAATAATTGTTTTACTAGTGGTTGGAAATATTTCTATTGAATTTCTGTGTATATTTTTAATAAAATTATTTTTGGCCTTTTATGAAGACAAATCTTATTAAATGTGAAACATTTATAGATATATACTTTTTCATGACAAGTTTTGGCTTCTTCTTTAAGAAAATCTGTTCATCATATATTGCGATTCAAAACATCATCTATATTCATTCTCCTTATGTTTAGTGTGAGCAATGAAGAGGCTTGTTTTTTTGCAGTTCTGGGGCTTGAACTCGGAGCCTTCACCTTGAGCCTCTCCACTGGCCCTTTTCTGTGAAGGGTTTTTCAGCTAGGGGCTCGCGAGCTTCTTCCCGAGGCTGGCTTTGAACCGTGATCCTCCTGAGTAGCCAGGGTTACAGGTGTGGGCCACGGTGCCTTTTGATGAATTAAATCTCATTCATTTCGGAATAGAACATTCAAAACTGAACAGTACTGTTACCGAACAAGAACCAGGTTGGTACCCGTGCTGTCTTATGAACGTCGCGTTTGGAACTGTGAGTACCTAGAGAAAACCAGCATGGGCTAAAGGACAGAGAACCAGGACAAGCGTCTCCTCAGAGCGCCCGGGTGGGAAGCACCCAGGTTTCAGATCCTCGGTGGCCAGTCACTCGCCACCAGTGGTCTAGGCTTTTGGGCCGCCTCAGTTTCTCTTCCTGTCCATGAGTGCTTCACCAAAAGGAGAAAAGCACAAACACGGGATGCACATCGATGCGTGCAGAATGTGCAGTGTGTGTGGGCCGCTGAGCCAGCAGCGCCTCCTTCATGTGCAGGCTGTGCTGTCCCCTCTCAGCCCCAGCGTCGCCAGGCAACCTAAACCCAGACCGTTTCAGAAGAGAAAGAAAGGAAAACCCTCACCTGCACTTCATTCTGTCGTCAACTCGCTGTGAACGTTTTTGCTTTAATACATGAATTACACTAGTATCTCACGTTACAAATAGGAAGCCAAATTACACTAACTCAGCTGTTCACAACCTCACAGCTAACTCCCCGTACACATTCCAATAAATTTATTCTGTAAAAACAATACATTTTTTTGTTTTTGATTTTTTCTTTTACAGTAAACTCTTCAACTACAAACCTCGAATACGTGAAAAATGTTCCAAGGACGAGCATAACAGGATTGATAAAATCCAAACCGACTAAGTGTTCTCACGGTACGAGCCGGCATAAAAATAAATAAAACTCTCTCTCACAACAGCGACAACAATGTCCACGTAACAATGGCTTGTGGGTGAGCGCTAGAGTCCAAAAGAAAAGAGTCCATTTTAAAATCCATATTGAAAAGTCAACGCTGTGTCTGCTGTCCCACGGGGGTGCTGACCAATTCAGCGGGAACGTCGAGTGTCTGTCAAGTGATTAGCTCAAGTTGTACTGGCTTTGGGAAAAAATAAATCATTGCCTTTATTTTGGAGTAACACAAAAAGACTCACTAACTTCACATATAGAAAACTCAGTTTGTGTACATGACATGAATTTTGAAAAGTATAAGCTGTCAACTACTATTTCTAATACAGAATAGATATTGTACAGTATGGTTAAACTTTACATGTGGCCTCAAAACTGAAGGACAACTTTCATTTCATCTTCAATATACCAGCGTTATGTATCTAGGGATCAACTCTGGGCTTTGACAAAGACAGAAGATTCCATCCTGAAACATTATTTTGAGGGGTCATCTAAAAATGCTAATTAACATTTAACTGAGTTTAGTGATGGTGCAGTGAAGGCAGGAAGATGGTGAGTGTAATGCCTTGATAAGAGGATCCAAGACAGAAGTCTGTGCAAAAACCTTGATATTCCCAGTGTCAAGGGCGACCTCATGCAACCAGCTCACATAAAATGAAATCAGTAGCCTTAAAAATGGCTAAGATGTCTCTTCTCCAACATAACAGGAATGAGAATGATGGACATACAAACTGGGGTCTGTCAGTGACAACAAGGACTATGTGTTGGTTCATATCAAATCCAAGAATACTAGACAACCAAACATGGACCTTCTTGTGATTTCTCTTTTTCTGCAGCATTCATTGTGGTAGTTAGGTCTGTAAAAAAGGAAAGAAAAGAAAAAGAAAAGAAAAGAAGCCTTTAGATGGCTCAGGACACTAGCAGTGAAAGCTGTCCACGCCTACAGAGCATGCAGCTCACTCTTCTGAGACTTTAATCTGACTGTGGCATTAAAAATACTCTGAGAAATGACACCCAAGCCTTGCTTTATACTATCAAAAAGTTAAATACTGATTTAGAGTTCCATTAAAAAAAGGCAAAACAGAGCCACGCGCTGTCTGCCGTCTGGCAGGGCAGAGGGTGGAGAGGGTGTGCTCTGTAGTGTGCGAGGCCTGGCTCTGCTGGGACACATGGGAGCCACTGGAGGGAGATGAGCGGTGACCTGTCACTGTGGGGGCTGCAGGTCACGGAGAACAGTCAGGATCTGCATCACATGGGGTCACACAAGCACCCTTCCTCACAGATGCCGCCCACCACCTGGCACACGGCTTAAACGCACTCAAGAGTTAACAAAAGTCAGCGCGTCTGGCCTCTTAACTTTGTGGTTTTGGAAAAATTTAAAGATGAGGAACAGGTCTGGTGGCTGACACCTGTTATCCCAGCCATGCAGGAGGCACAGATAGGAGGACCACGATCCAGGCAGCCCAGGCAGAAACATGAGATCCTAGCCAAAAAATACCTAAAGCAAAAAGGCTGGGATGTGGCTCAGATGGTAAGAGTGCCTGCCTAGCAAGTGTGAGGCCCTGAGTTCAAACCCCGGTACCGCCAGGAGGAGAAAAAGGTGAAACAAAAGACACCTAGATTTCTTTTAAGATTTACTTAGGACACGTGACAAAGATAAAGGATTCCCATTTCCTAAGAGAATTACGTCTCAATTGTGTCAGGTTCTACTTCCCCAAAGAGGTGCTGTCTTGTTTTCTTCATCATTAGTCCATCAGCCCTCCAGGTAACGTTCTCACAGGTGGGTGACAAGGGGAGCTCAGGCCCGAACACCTCTCCGAAGACAGCCTGCTGCAGCATGTGTACGCATGCTCACAGGATGTTCTCACCTAGCCAGCTCCTGCCATACTGCACAGACAGGTACACGACCTCCAGAGGAGGAAAGGTTCTCAAATCGACATCACCTCAAGATGGCAGAAATAGAAGTCGGGCTCTGGTGGCTCGCACCTGTCATCCTAGATATGGCGGGAAGCTTAAAACAGGAGGGTCAAGATCCAGGTCAGCCTGGGTGGACAGTGAGACTCCATCTCTAAAACAACCAGAGCAAAAGAGCTGGGGGTGTGGCTCGATGGTAAAGCACCTGCCTAGCAAATATTAGGCCCTGAGTTCAAACTCCAGGACTGCCAAAAAAAAAAAAGATGGTGGAAATGCTTTTTTTCTTTTTGGTACCGGGGTTTGAACTCAGGGGCTTGGGCTTGGTAAGGGCTATACTTCTTGAGCCACGCCACAGGCCTTTTCTGTTTATTTTTCATTTTGTCTGGGACCAGTTTTTGACTGCAATTCTCCTACCTTGGCCTTCTGCGTAGCTAGGTATCAGGTGTGCGTCACAGAAATACACTTTAACTTTTCCTGTCCCTACCAAAACAAGGAATCCAGCCTCAAATAAACTCCCATTTATAATGCATGAACTTGGGAAGTGCTGTGCCCGGTAACTCTTACTAACAGCGGAACACCAGATGCAAGGTCAGCCTTAGAGACTTGTCCTTGTGAGGAAGTCCAGGAGCAACGGAAAGCAGTTGGCTAATCACAGAGGCCTTCTTTAACCACACGCTTTTACTAATGTTGATGTGAAAAGCGATCAAGGGGGTCTACACTGGGAAGTTCATAGCTAACAGAGGCTCAGACCGCACAGAGGAATACTTTCGGAGCAATCCTCCAGCAGCCTACACAGAGCGAAGGTGACCGGGATACGGCCACAACGTTCAAGCCATACTCTCTTGGTTTCTCTCCTCCCTTGTCACTGTCTGCCCTACACATTGCTAATACCTCGTGGCAGATGTATTTTGGACATGGCGCACTGAGTCTGCCGGGCTTACGGCCTCTGCTGAACCAGGACCCAGGGCAGCTGCCCTGCACCAGCCGTGTCCTCGGGTTGCATACCCCTTGCTGGGCGCCCGAATGGCGGGCACATTGAGAGACTCTAGAGCAGCGGCAGAGCTAAAGGTCACCTAGACACAGCAGCAGGAGCTGTGACACACACAAGCTGAGGGATTTCTTTCATGGAGTCTCATTTTTATGTGAAAAGTCACTCTATTCAACATGGTGTTAAGGCTTGGGTGTTTGCCGCTTTCTAAGAGGTGAAGTGGCTTACTGATCCACCGAAAACAGCCGACAGTCATTGCTGCCAATGACAGAACTTGAGCACCAGTGATAATTCTAATTCCGAATCCTCCACGATCAACAGCTTCTCAACCTTTAAAGACTTCTGAAGAGAAAGCAACATTTAAAAATATGATGAAGAATGTAATGAAATGGGTCACAATGTTTTTCAACTCAAGAGCCCACGTTTTTTAAACAGGACACACTATCCAGAGTGAGAGAGTCCCTTCACGCTCAGGATGCTGACCACTTATGGAGCGTGCCGCGTCACGCGGGGACGCCCACGCTTACCGCACAAGACCCTTCAGGCACTCTGTCTTCACTCGTCCGCTGCACACACTTCAACAGCACCGCACATCAAGAGTGCGGAAGCAGGTGAGGAAACCCGGCTGTCTTTCATTACATTAAACCAGGCGTCAGAGCGATGGACAGGCTGGACACGCTGACCACAGTGAAATGAAGGAAGGATGTTTTCTGAAAGCACCAGAAAGAAACAGAGCAGAAAAGCCACAGAACTGAAGAGATTTATTTGCAAGGCATGACAATCCACGTTGCTCCGAATCCGGAATGAGCAAAGCCCAGAAAAAAAAAAAATCTAATAAGAAAATGGGCAAAATACCAGAAATGAGCATTGCAGAGAAGAAAGATGGGTGGTAAATAAATTTAAAAAGAAGCTTGATCCAATCAATCACAAAAATCAGAAAGTCTGATGTGCCAGCTTAAATACTGCAGATAAGAGTGTAAACTGGCCCAAATGCTTAGGAAAATAATTTGGTATTATCTTGTAAATTTAAAAAGCATAACCTCATGACTCAGCATTTTCTGATCTGGTTAGATACCCTAAAGAAACTTGCACGTGGACTAGGAGACAAGCAAGATGGTTCTGTAGTACAAATGCTAGAAACAACCCAAATGCACGCCAGCAGCTGACTGGATAAGTAAGTTGTGACATGCTCATACAGCACAATAATGCTGCATAAGAAGCTGAGTATTATACAGCACTGAAAAATGAAATGGCTCTGATACACAGCCACATGAAGGAGTCTTAAAAACACAGTGGTAATCTCAACTCTACAGGAGGCAAGAGATGGGAGGACTGCGGTTTGAGGCCTGCTTGAGCAAAATATTAGCAAAAAACCTATTTTAAAAACAAGCTGTGTGATGTGTACCTTGAAATTGTAGCTATGCAGGAGGCATAGGTAGGAGGATTGCAGTCAGGCCTGCTAGGCAAAAGTACAAGACCCTATCTGAAAAATAAGCTAACGCTAAAAAGGCTGGAGAGTGGCTCAAGTGGTAGAGCACCTGGCTAGCATGGACAAGGCTTTGAGTTCAAACCCCAGGACCACAAAAACGAACAAACAGCACAGTGGTGAGGAAGCATCGTTTTTAAAAGCTCACACACAAGACAAGCAAAATCAAACAAATAGGTGCAGGCACACGTTAAGGATGGGGTCACAGCTCACATCAGTGCCCGTCTTCTTTCCAGTGTTTGGGTTGAAGGACTGTTATTTGTACATAACAGACATACTAAACACAGATTGAAAATAAAAGGATCTTTGGCTTTTGCTAGTTGTATAATCCTGGGCCAATTCTTTCAGCCTCAGTTTCTTCACCTAAAAAGCTGGAAACAATACTTCTGCCTATCCTTGGGGTTTGTGCAGACTCAGTGAGAGGCCGCGCGTACAGCAGCTGGCACAGCGTGAGGCACAGGTGCTTTAAGACATTCAACTAGAGAGAGCAGTCAGAAGAGAGAGTGGGAAGGCATTCCCAGTGTCCAACAGCTGAAACCATGTGAGCTGATAACCAGTGGGAAGTCTTCAGAGTACAAACAAATTTTCAGAGCTCCAGAGACTCAGAGGCGGGGAGATGAAGCAGAAGAGCCTGGTGACTGGGAGAAAGAACCTGTGGTACTCCAGGCTAGAGTGAAGACCGAAGGAGACCTAGAGCTCTCTGAAGAGCAGTTTCACAGAACTGGCTAGAAGGGTGTGTGGGGAGAAGGAGGGGAGGAAATGCAGAACGGAGAACAGAAGCCTCAGGAGTTTGGAGGCAGAGAGAACCGGGCATGCATGAGAGGTGGGGCGTCTGGGTGCTGGAGGCTCCTTCACAATTCAGAGATATGGAACCGAGGAGCCAGTGGGGAAGACGGGAAAGGAGAGGAGAGAGGGCCAGGTGGCTTGGTAGCTGGAGGGAGCAGAAGGTATTCTGAAATAGAAAGGAACGGACCACCTTCTCAAGCTTTGATGTGCACAGCATGGGGGCCAGTTCACATGCAGACTCTAACTGGAGTTGGGCCTCAGAATCTTCATTTCTAACCAGCCCTGAGTGGCGTGTGTGATGTTTGACCACACTGGATTAGTGAGCAACACAAAAACCTTTTGTTTTTTCTAGGTGCACAAAAAGTGCACCTAGAAATGACAGAGAGGCATTCTGGGAGTTTTGGCAACAAGCATATCAGTGAGCTGGATGAAGGCAACAGGAGGGGTCAGAAGAAAATCAACTGGGAATGGAAGCCTCACCCTGTCCCTGGAAAGACAGCAGGCCAAGTGGAGAGAAGGAAGAGAGGCGGAAGACAGCAGAAGGCTGAGCTGGGTGGATGATTACAATCACAGAACTCTGAGGGATTACAGAAAACTGGATAGAGAAGGAAAAAGCTGAGACGCAAACGGGACTGTCATGAATAGGCAAGAACGCAGTGAACAGCCAAACCCACAGTGTCACCGAAGAGAACTAACATATTCCATAGCCGTTATTTTGAAATGATTTGACGCTGTTCCCTGGTCCTCACAGGAGAGGCACATGGAGGGTGCCGAGGTGCACAATTTGCCTTCACCACCACTTTCACAAACATGGACTTGCCTGTAGTGCTGAAGGGCACGGGTTGACAGACATGAGCCATAGTCCAGGTGGACTGAGTGTCCGTATGGGTACTTTAAATATCAATGCCCATATATAGCTTGAGCATTTCAGTACCGAGTCCTAAGGGTACCCAGTACGTTAAATTACAGTCTGGGAAAGAAGTGACAATCTGTAATCCTTTCCAACACGCCATTAATTTTGTAATACAAGAAATACAACCATCAAACTGCATGATTTCAACAACTGACAACTTACTTTAGAGATTCTGAAGTTGCTAAAGTTAGTTTTAAAAAGGAAAGAGCCCATTCTGAGCTCCAAACTGACAGGAAGGTGGAATTTCCCACTAGTGAACTTCTGACCCCTCACGCAGGCTTGTGAGCGGATGTGCGCAACAAGCTAACAGGCTGCATTTACCAGCACCCCACTTGCTAATGCCAGGACACGCATGCTGCTTCTGCAGCAAGGTATCTCCCTGTAAGCAAAGCCTTACCCCCTCGCTGGTCTTCTGCAAGTCTGATGCTGTGTTTCTTGTGTCATTCCCGGCGTCTCCACCCTCAGAGCTGCTTTTGTTTTCCTCTTCTTTGCAATCTTTATCATCTTCATCTCCTGGAGATTTCCGGGACTGCTTAGAAGATTTCTAAATGTTTAGACAAGTTAAAAATTATAGTCAAAAGCAGAAATCCAAATGCACAAGTGTAAGTAAGAGAGCTGATCTGTACTCAGTCCTTGTGTCTCAGTACAGTACGATACAACATGCAGAGTGCCCAGGTAAAGCTGGGTCACACTGGACAAGTCACTTCATCTCGCTGGGCCTCAAGAGCTAGCTGGTAAGGAAGGAGAGGTGGGCCAGATGACAACTTAGTTCTTTCCAGAAGCATGAGGTAAGAAGCAGAGAGTAAAGATTATGGAAAAATACAGCTGGGTGGATATCACCTTAGGAAGGCATGCTAAAGGTCATTTTGTCCTCCTGATTCTTTTTACAGAGGTAGAAATCAAGGTCCAGAGAAGTGAGGTGAGCTCTTCAAGATGAAGATGGAGGGCTGGGTGTGTAGCTCAAGTGGTGGAGAGCCTGCCTAGACGCACAAGGCCGGGAGTTGAAACCTCAGTGCACATACATACACACGTGAGAACACCTGTGGAAGCTGCTCTTATGCACGCGGAAGATATGTTAAGTGATTAATAATGGGTGCTAACACCTCACTGTATTCAGTAAAGAGGAAGCACAGGAGTACTGTGAGGCTGTGCTAGGCGAGTGACTCTCCAAGCCTGTTCTAGTCAGCAGCCCAGACCAGCCTCACTGGAAACAAATCCCAGACCCTATCCCAGACCTTCTAAAATGGAAATTCTGGAGGCTGAGGTTCAGCAAAATGTATTTTAAGAAGACTGCCATGCAGTTTTGCTGCATATGAACACTTGAGAACCACTGCGTCATAGTAACAGTACAAAGCCATGGTTCTGAGCTGGGGAAGTAGAGCAGTGGTTCAGTGCTTGTCGAGTATGTGTGAGGCCCTAGGCTCAATCCTTAGTACTGCACCAAGAAAAAAAACAAGTCATGATTCCTAAGTGATCATGGAAGTTATACTCTTGGAAGGAAACAGGAAATAATCTTTTAAAATAGATTAATCTTAGCCAGGTGTGATGACACAAGCCAGCTACTCAGGAGAAGGAGATGAGAGGATCCAGCTTCAAGGCCAGCCCAGGCAAAAGTTAGCAAGACCCTCATCTCAGGATGTGTGGCGCATGCCTGTGGTCCCAGCTACTCAGGAGGAAAATGTAGGAGGACTGCAGTCCAAGGCTGGCCTGAGGAAAGTCAGCAAGACCTTACTTAAAAACAAACTTAAAATGCAAAAGGGTTGGAGGCATGGCTCACATGGGCTCTGAATTTAATTTCCTGTACTGCTAATGAAAGAACTGATGAATTAGTCAGTAGGTGAAGTTGTCTTCACCCTTCACTGCTTCAAATTGTAAATCCGTTCCGAGTGTGAGCTCTGTTGCTTCTGGTTTTGCAACAAGCACCGACACAGCGGCATTTAAAAACCACATGCCTACATGCTAAATTCTCGGCAGCTTCAGGGAGCTTAGATAGCAGTGTTTCATGCTGAATTACACAGAGTCTTAGCAGGCAATCCATTAAACCAAATCAACTCAAGTGTGTGTTTAAGTGAAGTTCAAAATATTCAATGAGATTTGGCTTAAAAATAATTACAACAGAAGACACAGTTTGATAGGGAAAATTTGAACTTTTCCCCATCCAAGGCAGTCACATGTTTTTCATTAGGTGCACAGAAGTAATGCTGCATTCCTACAATGTCACCTGTCAGTAGGGTGGACTTACAAGACTGCCCAAATAGTATGTCGGGAGTCTGATAAACTCCTGGTTCTTGTTTTTAAGGCATTTCCTAAGGCTGTGCAGCCAATAAGTACAAGAATTGAAGTAATTTCTCCAAGTATTGACTCATGTGCCAGAGCCCAGGGAAACTTGAACTAGGCTTTGGTCTTCAAGGATACAGCAGTGTTTCTCTTGGACTCTTTCTAAAGGAGAGCAGCTTCACAGTCAGTTTTCCAGTTAGTTTCTGCATCACTATATGAAAAACCCAGACCTTCCACTTTGTAAATCTAGCACATCACCACTGTTCAAAACCCACCCTTACTATTACACTCGAAATACAACCAAATGCTGCAGTACGGACGGCACGCTTGTGTTGTTTTGCTTTTGTCTCCCCCTCAATCATGACTCTTTGGGACACTTGCCCTCTTTCAATTTAGGACCATGCCATAATCTTCCCCTCAGTTCTGCTGTTCCTTTCCCTTTGTCACACACGGCTTCTCCTCCCATCCCCTTCTTTCTGGTCCCAGCATAAACCTTCCCTTCACAGAAAGGCCTTGGCTACCCTTCTGCTCTGCGATTCTCGGCACCCATTCATGTCCCTTGCAGCCCTTTCACAATGTACATGTACTTATTCCTTACCATGTGCCCCTCCCCTACTAGGCTACAAGTTACAAGAGGAAGGATGGATGCAGCTGGATTTGCTCACCACTCTATACCTAGTTCAGTGTCTGGCACCAACTAGGTGATCAGGAAATGTGGGAACTGATTAAATGAAAGGCCAACACGCTTTCTCTGAAGCAAAGGCAAGTAAGAATGTATCTGTGTATTCAGTACTGTGCTGTGAAGCCTTGTGTGTGCTAAGCAGAAGAAGCTCTACCACTTGAGCCACACCCCCAGCCCCTGCTCGTATACACAGCACAGACATAGTCTTGAATTCCACCCTGGCTCCATCTAACTAAATTCTTCAGGACTCTTCAGAGCTGGGCTGGAGGTTCTAGTTGCTCCTAAACTGCATCCTTAACTGAAAATCCAACTAATAAGGTGGTGTTTTCAAGGCCAGTTCAGCAGCCAGATCCCCTCACATCTCGAGTTGCCCGTCTTACTCCCCCTGCTGTGCTGCTGATTCTTAAGGCCAAGGCCCACAGACTCCAACACATTTCTATACACCGGAAATATGTATTTCAGTAAGCAAACTGAAGGTAACCTAAGACTCTTTTCCAGTGCTGGGGACTGAATTCAGAGCTTCACACATGCTAGGTAAGTGATCTACCTCGGAGCTACACCCCCACCCCCAGGCCAACTCCATATTAACAAGAGCAGGAGTTTCTCAGTAACCTTTGAAGCATATGACTTTTTCCGTTTTGAGCCTCCCTTCTCATTCTTCCGTTTGCCTTTTCCATCTTCTTCTACTCTGTCACCTTCCTCCTCACTGCTTGCATCTGCAGGATTTCCGCCTTCTCCCTCCGTTTCTGAAGAGCTCTGTTGCTGAATTGCCTAAGGAAAAAAAGTAGCTAATTACATTTTGAAAAAGTTGTAAGGAACACAGTGGGTGAAAAGAATCAGTCTTTTAATTTGAAAGGGTTCAGTTTACTCTCAAGATTTTCAAAATTAAGGGCTGTGAAAGCCAGGCATGACGGCACACACCTGAGAAGGTAGCTACTCAAGAGGATTCAGCCAACCTCAGCGATACAGTGAGATGTCTCAGTGAATCAATCAATGGTTGTCAAATTCAGTTTTTCAAGTCACTCAGTTTGAAACCTTCTGGGTAAAAGAGCTGCATTTAATCAAAATGCTACTACAGTTAAAGAGTTCTGACCTTAGAAGGTAATTTTTAGTAGAAAGGATTACTATAAAGATGTGAAAAAGAAAAGAACGGAAGAAATGAGATATAGTGAGTGACAAGGATACAAGACATTACCTGGTATCCAGTGAACTTTACTCCTGGGTTATTCTCTATCTCCCACAGTCCTTCATTAAAGCCTTTCCGTTTATTTGACTTTCCAAACTTGTCTTTGTATTCCTTATATGGAAAAAGGTCTTTAGGACCTAGAAATGCACTGCAGAGATATATTAGAAGCAGAATTGATATGACGACCTTCAAATACGTTTTAAATCTCAATATGGACTAAGGCTTCTGAGCATATTACAGAAACAAATTTACAGCACACATCAGAAGACGTTTCAGAAACAACTTCAAGGCAGAAAAAAAATGGACGCCTGAGTATACAAACCAGCAACACTGGATTGTGCTACCTGGACTTCACCTCTAAGTTACCAACACAGTCTTTATCTGGCTATACAAGTAGAATTAAACTATCTACTTTGACACTTAAAACATCACTTTAAACTAAGACTTATTTATGCCAATCTTGTCACAGGTAAGGATTTTGAGATTTATAGTGAAAATATAAACACTATAATGAAAAAGATTTTAACTCTAAATGCTACATTAGAATATTTCTTGACTATTATTTCTACATATTAAAAAAGAAAGTGCAGGCTCTGAGGTAGGGAATGCCTATTGCGTGGCTAGTGAGAGGTGGGGGACAGAAGACTAGGATAGGATGAGGTCACAGAGGCAACAGGAAGGACACAGGTCACATAGGGCCTTGGAGGCCACTGTGAAGGTGTGAGTGAGATGGGAAGCCATTCGAGGTTTTGAGGAGTAATGTTTCATGTTGTTTCAGCAGCGTCACTTTGGCTGCTGTGTTTGACTGAGGGTCAGGTAGTAGGGTGGAAGCAGAGGCTCTAATTACAAGGCTGTAAAGTACTGGTAGTGACTTGGTGGTTAAGTGGTCAAATCCTGAATTCATTCTTGAGAAAGAGTCACAATGGTCTGTTGGTGGTCTGGATACAGAACATGAGAGAAAGGATGGATATGAGGGAATCCCCAAGGTTTTAGAGATTTTTAGAATGAGAACTATCAAGAATGGAACTGACGTTCACTGAAATGGGAAAATTTGTGGAAGGTGAAAAGCCCATTGTGAACATCAGGTTTGAAATCCCAGCTAGACAATCAAGTGAAGATGTCAAGTAGGTTGTCAAGGAGATGACTCTGGAGTTCAGGTGAAGATCTTGGCTGGAGACAGACATTTGGAAGTTATCAGCAAAGAGACAGGACTGAAAGCGTTCATTCAACAGGCTAACAGTTTTCTGTTGATCCTTGTAAAGTCCATTTCCTGACTGAGTCTTAGTACTGATCTCTCAAACTGTACAGCTGATTAAAAACTTGAAGTTGATAAAAACGACTGAGGAAACTTTCTGATCCACAGTTACCTAAGAATCATCAAACTGAGCCAGGCATGGTGGCTCATGCATGTTATCCCAGCTACTTAGGAGTTGAAGATCAGGAGGATCATAGTTTGAGGCCAGCCCAGCAGAAAGTTAGTGAGACCTCATCTTAGGCAACAACCAAAGCATGGTGGTGTACACTTGTCATCCCAGCTATACAAGAGGATCAAGGTCTGAGGAGGGTCAGGGGCAAAAACCCAAGACCCTGCCTGAACGGGTAACTAAAGCAAAAAGGGATGGGAGAGTAGCTCAAGTGGTGGATTGCCTGCCTAGCAAGAGCAAGGTCCTGAGTTTCCAGATCACCTTCAATTGTTCAGTCAGCACAATTCCGTATCACTGAACCCAGCAAACTTTATTAGGCTATGGGACGTTTTAATAAAATCCTGTCAAAGTGTTGCTTGACAAGCTGAATACGAGCGTGAGGAAGAAAGGGGGACTTTGCACATGACTACCTCACTTTCAGAGGAATTCTGAGGAATTCTTACTCAGATTTTTGTCTTCTCTTCTGTTGACTCTATGCACAGAAACAATGAGGCTTTTCTGGTCTTCCTTATTTTCTCATTCCTTACTCCCACCTTTGGATGGATCAGATGCATGCTTTTCTTCTATGAACAGATGACACATTTTTTATTATCATTCCCCAGGAATGATTTTTTTTTTCCAGTGCTGGGGCTTGAACCTGGGGCCTTATGCATGCTAGGCAAGAGCTCCTCCACTGAGCTACAATGTCAGTCCTTGGTTTTTTGAGACAGGATCTGAGGCTGGCCTTGAACTTGGGATCCTGCTGCCTCTGCCTCTTGAGTGCTGGGATTACAGGGAGTGTGCTGCCACACCTGGCCCCTGGCATAACTTTAACTGATATCTGGTCGTGTTTGCTGTTATCAAAAGAGGGACCCTGAATGAACTACAAGTTCTGTAATAGACAAGCCTATTTCCCCCTGGATTATAGATAATTTCATAAACCAAATCCCCTCTCAATTGGTTAACTTTCTTGTATGTTTTTCAAATCTTACAGGGTAAGGAAGAAAATAAAATTATTTAAAACTACATGCTCTAAGAACAATTTTTTTTTCCTGGCCAGAGCTTCCTTGAGAATTGTCTAGACTACAACAACTGAGTTGTGCTCCACGGAGAAGAACTTGGGTCTCCAGTCACCCACCTGCTGCCTGTGCAAGTAGAACAGAGTCAAAGCCATGATGTGAGGAAAGTTCTAGTCTACCTGGGGTACTCTTTTTGCTGGCTCCTCAGCTTTCACATACTTTCCCCCTTTGTTTAATTAATTTCTGCTGAACAGTTATTTTGTGAAAACACATGGCCACACACTGCTAGGCACTGCCCATGGGGTAAGCAACACAGCTCAATCTCTGCCTCCCAGAGAGGGTGAACACCAGCCGGGGCGGGCCTCGCCAGGTTCACGCACAGCCCACACTTAGAAACAATATTATGGCAGGCTTTTGGAAGTTCACTCTCCTATAGAGTAGTTCAAAATCTGCCTCTGGATGATCAAACCAGAAAAAAATCACATTACATTGATCCTCGATAGAACTGCTTTCACTGAATTGAGTCCTGGAATGGTGCCACTGATGTACATTAGGATTCTATCAGAGACAGCCCTGTTAAATCCTTCACAATGGTTCCTGGAATGCTTCTGTTATGTTCACCAGTTGTAGCCAGGTGGCAGGCTCTTTAAGGGCACTTTTTATTTCCCATGCTTTTACTATGTTTAGAAAATAAATGTTTACTTCAGGAATGGAAGTAAACACACAAGGTTGAATGGTTGATTTTGGTACTACAGTGGAAATGAGGTGGTTTTATTAAATCCTGCCTTGTCTCAGAAATACAACCAGATCACTTGGACATGGATTATGTTAAAGAAAAACCAGAACAATGGTGCACACATAAAATGGGGCAGGAATGGGATAACTAGAAAACACATATCACAAAGCCCTGTGCACTTGTTAGAAGAAAGACCTTTAGGCTTTCTAGCAACTGCTCTATGGAGGAAAACTGGATGAGTTGCACACACCACACTGGCTACTCAGTTGTCTTTTTTTTGCTTTTTTTCAATACTAAGCTTTGAACTCAGAGCCTGACACTTGCCAGGCAGGTGCTTCACTACTTGAGCTACGCCACTAGTGCCCACAGTGTTTATTAGGTTAAAAACAGAAGGGAGTATAGCTTAGTGCTAGAGTACTTGCCCAGCATGCTCGAGGCCCTGGGTTTGATCCTCAGCACTGCAAAAACCAAACCAAACCAAACCCCCAAACAATACAAAACAAAACAACAAAATGAAACAAAAACCCCACAGAAAACTAACTTTTTGGAAGAAGCACAAGTGTTTCTCACACGAAGAAAGAAATCTGCCTTGAGAACCCTGTCCTGGTTCTTTCAAGACAAGAATGTGGAAGATGTCAAAGTGGTAGAGAGAGGCTCTGCTAACACTCACATGAGAAGAAAGGATGCATTCTTAGTGTTCAAAGATTGCCAACCACCACCAAGTGTCATTTTGTTCTCCCTTCTCTCCTTAATGGACTACTTCTCCCATTCTCTTAGCATCTCCCAGCCAGAGCCATGTCACCCAGCTTTCTCTGTAGCTAGGCAGGGTCACATGGCCAAGTTCCTGCCAATGGAATAAGTACACATGGAAGTGACAGGTGAGCCTTCCTTCATTTCCTTCCTAGGAATTACTTGTTTCTTCACTTCTCTCTTCCCTTCCCTCTGCCTGGAAGAAACACATGCACGCTGAAGCAGGTTTGTTTTGTTTATTAAATAAGCAAACAAGGGCAACACAGGATGAGGAGAAGGAACTGGGTTCCTAGAGCAGAACTGTCTACCCTGATCTATCTGCCTACCTCTGGATTATTTCAAAAGAAGGAAGGAAAGAAATGTCTCTATTACCTGAGGTCGTACACTAATCCGTGGCATTAGAAAACCTAAAAAAGTAGCAGTTTGCTTCCAAGTCCACCAAATGAAAAGAGGCTGAGAGAAGATAACCTTGTTCTGTGAGACATGAATGAAAGAAACTTCTCCACAGGGGAAATAAGCAAAAGCTACAAAGGAAATGACTGGAGTGGTAAGGGACACTTTAGCACTCACAGGTTCCTACAGGAGACCTCTGGCTGAAGAGAACGTTAAACAGAAACAGAAAGGACAGTCAAAGGCAAAGTCATGCTGTTATTATCAAGACTTCAACTTCTCATGAAATGAAAACTTCTTACACGAAGAAAAATGCATTGTTAAGCTTGGAAACTTTATGTAATTGATTATAATGACTTTATGACATATAAAACATTATAGATCATCTATGAACAATTAGAGCCGTTGAAACTTTATTTTGTTAACTTACGTTTCATGGGTACCAAAAAAGAAGATAGGATACTTGTTTGCTGGAGGCTTCACAGCTCCCTCTGGGAGTTCATCAATCTATTAGAGAGAGATTTAGCTATTAGTTACCATAAGCACAATATAAACATTTGATAATTTATTGCTAATTTCAAAATAAAATTACTCTAATCAAAATCCTAATAGATTTTCTTTTCTTGAACCTTGCAAAATGATTCTAAAGGTGTGTCTGGCCTCCACACAGAGTTAAACTATGAGCAGATGATAACCAGTATAGTAATCCTTAGGCAGAACCCAAAAGTACTCATTTTCTTTGACCCAACAGAAGTATTCCTGATACTCTGTCCCTGTGAAATAATTTAAAATGACCAGCAAAACACAACAAAAAGATGTACATTTTTGGACTAGTTGAGAATAAATACATATCCCTAGAAGACACGATGGCAGACATGCTGGAGGACAACGGACACTCACAGTATGCAGTCAGTAAATGACCTCATCTCTTGCCTGGACTCCACAAGCCTCTCCTCACCATTTTAACTACAGCTAGCTGTTAACACAAACATCTGAGTAGTTCACTTCCTTGCTTCAAATCTTGCTATAGTTTTTATTGCTCCCACCATTCCTAGCTGTGCATCTGAATCAATCTCTAGCTTTTAAAAATAAATGTACCTCAGTCCTGGCCCAGAGCTGAGGCTGAGGCCTTGGGTGGGAAAGTTCAAATCCCTTGGATTATACAGCTATGCGTATTTTATTATTTGGACTATTTCAGGAAATGGTCTTTGCCAGGCAATGGTGGCATGCTATGGTAATCTCAGCTTCCCGGGAGGCAGGAAGAGGAGGATCATGGTCCAAGGTTAGCAAAGGCAGAGTCAGCTGGAGAAATCAACGAGAAGCAAAGGACTGGGGGAGGGGCTGAAGAGGCACAGTGCTAGCAAGCACCAGGCTGAATTCAATCCCCAGTACCTCCCACCGCCAGGACAGGAAACAGCGTGTGGCCGTCCTACGACACCAGTCAGCAATATGAAACCACGTGGACTTGCTTATGGGCTTGCTAGTGCTTTCACAGCCTTCTCTGATGGCTGAACTCCTCTTTCAGACACACACTGTTCAATTACACAAGTTTCTATTTACAGTAAGAAAACAAGCTGCAAGAAACTGCCAGTACTTTGAAACCTCTTTAAGCAAGGTCCCCAAATGCCTATGTAGAAATGTTCCTAGTTATACTCTGGCTTCCTTGCTCCACCCGAATACTACAACTCCCAGCATGCACAGAGGTCCAGCAAGTGAGGGGCCCTGAAATGCAAGCTTCACTAGCACAATAAATCTAGCTGTTGGCCAGGTTGCTCTCTGGAAGCCAGCTCTGGGCACAGGTCCTGACAGCCACTTAGTGGCTGTATGATCTTAGGCGCGGTACTCAACTGCAGTCTATCTCTCTGACACTCATCTTGTAGGGCTGCTGTGACCACCAGGTGAAGGGCACTTTAGAATCTCTGATACATACCAGGTGCTCAGTGAGTAGCAGGCAGTCATTACTAACAGAACGCCCAGAGAGAGCTGCTCTCTAGGTGGTTTACAAAGCCCTTCACTGCCAGCTCCTGCTGGCTGACTTCTCTCTCTTACCTTACCCTTACCACCTGCCCTGGATAGTCCAGCCACAAGCACGGCTATGAGGCCTTACTAGATTGTGGACAAAGTTTTATTGTCATAACTGCTGACCTGTGGATATGTTTTACTGTTGTATTTGCTACCTGGTGCTACTCAATTTTCACCTGATTCTTCATCAGACCATGAAATTCTATAGAGACCATGGATGACTAGGAATTCCATTCCCACCACTATGGTTTAATGGTTTAAGCGTGTCCCTCAATGGTTCATGTGCTGGAAGCTTGGTCTGCAGTGTGGAGATATGAAGAGATAGTGGGAACTTTATGAGGTGGGTTGGTGGGCGTGGTGGCTCACACCTGTAATCCTACCTACTTAGGAGAGCATACCAAGTGACCATCTTCACTGAGTTGGCTTATCTACTGGGTGTAACATGGCAAGAAATTTAGTGTTAGTCTTTTATCTGCAGCTAAAGTTTCAGACCTGAATCTACTCTGTGTGAAAAAAAAATTTTTTTTTTGCAGCACTGGGGTTTGAACTCAGGGCCTCATGCTTGCTAGGCAAGTGCTCTACCACTTGAGCTACTTTGCCAGCCCTGACAAAGACTTTATCTTTCCTGTTTGAGTATGAAATATTTTCCTACCTTTGAAAAGGATATTAAAAATTAGGGATAAGTTTCTTAAGATGAAGGAGCTCTGTTTTTATTGGCTTACAGGCATTAACAGGACATACAACATTTAATGGAAGGGAACACAATCCTCAGGAAATAAGATTCTGAACACTTTTAAACGTGGTGGCCTTTCCTGTTGTTTGTTCACTGCAGAGACAACTGGATCCCACTTAAAAACTGTGCTCTGCCCCTCAGAGCCTGAAAACTTACAGCCCACGGACTAGGCTGCAGGGAGGTAGCCTCGAATTCCTCAGTCTCGTCCAGGACCTTCACTGTCCGTGTCACTGGGACTAGTCAGACATGTCAATTCTCACTAGGACACTTTGGGTTTAGGCTAAAGAGTGAGGGTTTTAAGAAGGCTCCAGATGACTTTGAGGGACATTTTAGGACATTTCAGCCTCTTGCTATGGTTCTATGGACACTATGCCTGCATTTCTTACGATTAACCCTTGACTCCTCTAAATCTGCAGGCTTTTTGTATTGAGACTGCAAAAACACACCAGTGCAAGTTTGTTTTCCTAATACTTTAAAAATGTACAAAATGTCTGCAAAGATTCTCAACAAAATATTGGCAAACAGAATTCAACAACACATCAAAAAGATCATATGCCATGACCAAGTCGGTTTCATTCCAGGGATGCAAGGATGGTTCAACATATGTAAATCCATAAACATAATACAGCTACAAACAGAAGTAAGGATAAAAACCACATGATCCTCTCAATCAACACAGAAAAAGCCATTGACAAAATTCAACACCCTTTCATGATAAAAGCTCTAAAGAAACTAGGAATAGAAGGAATGTTCCTCAACATAATAAATGCTATATTTGACAAACCTAGAGCCAACATCGTACTAAATGGAGAACAACAGAAACCATTCCTCTTAAAGTCAGGAACAAGACAGGGCTGTCCATTTTCCCCACTCCTATTCAATATAGTTTTGGAGTTCCTAGCCAGAGCAATAAAACAAGAGCAAGAAATAAAAAAGATTCAAATAGGGAAGGAAGAAGTCAAACTATTCATGTTTGCAGATGACATGATCCTATACCTAAAAGACCCTAAAAATTCTACCAAAAATATTAGAAGTCATAAACTCCTTTGGTAAAGTACCAGGATACAAAATTAGTATACAGGAAATCAGTAGCCTTCCTGTAAACAGCAACATACAGACTGAGAAAGGAATCAGGGAAACAATCCCATTTACAATAGCCTCAAAAAGAATTAAGCACCTTGGAATAAATTTAACAAAGGAAACCAAAGACCTTTTCAATGAAAACAATAAACCATGAAGAGAGAAACTGAAGAAGATGTAAGAAGATAAGATTTCCCATGCTTGTGGACTGGTAGAATCAACATTGTCAAAATGGCAATCCCTATCAAAATTCCAACGACACTCATCACAGAGATAGAAAAATCAATCCTAATGTACATATGGAAACACACAAGATCTTGAATAGCCAAAGCAATTCTGAGCAAAAAGTCTAATGCTAGAGGTACCACAATCCCTGACTTCAAACTGACAATCAAACAACATGGTACTGGCATAAAAATAGACAGGAAGACCAACGGATTAGAAGACTCAGACATAAACCCAAGCAGCTACAGCCAACTGATCTTCAACAAAGAAGCCCAAGGCACACGATGGAGAAAAGACAGCCTCTTCAACAAATGTTGTTGGGAAAACTAGATATCCAGATGGAGAAGCCTGAAACTAGATCCCTGCCTCTTACCCTGTACCAAAATCAACTCAAAGTGGATCAAAGACCTTAATATAAGACCTGAAATTTCAAAACAACTCCAGGAAGTAGTAGGGAATATACTGGAACATATAGGTATGGTGAACGACTTCCTAAGGAGAACTCAAAAGGTTCAGCATCTAAGAGAAAGAATGAATAAATGAGACTGCAACAAACTTAAGAGCTTCTGCACAGCAAAAGAAACAGTCACTAGACTCAACAGGTAGCCCACAGAATGGGAGAAAATCTGTGCCACCTACTCATCTGACAAAGGTCTAATATCCAGAATCTATAGGGAACTCAAAAAACTTAACCCACAAAGAATCAACATCCTAATGAAAAAATGGGCACATGAATTAAACAGGGAATTCTCAAAGGAAGAGGTACAAATGGCCAGTAAATACATGAAGAAGTACTCAACTTCCCTGGTTATAAAAGAGATGCAAATCAAAACTACACTAAGATTTCATCTCACCCTAGTTAGAATGGCCATAATCAAAGGTAATAATGACAAATGCTGGCGAGGATACCCTGATACACTTCTGATGGGAATGGAAATTAGTACAACCATTTTGGAAAGTAGGGAGATTCCTCAAAAAGCTAAAGATAGACCTGCCATATGATCCAGTGATACTGCTCCTGGGCACCTATCCAAAGGAACGTAAGTCAGGATACAATAGAGGCACCTGTGCACCCATGTTCCTCGCAGCACTGTTCACAACAGCCAAGCTCTGGAAAGAACCCAGGTGCCCCACAACTGATGAATGGATCAAGAAACTGTGGTCTATGTACACAATGGAGTTTTACTCAGCCATGGGGTTGGAAGAAAATGGATGCAACTGCAGGACATCACGTTAAATGTACGATCAGAAACACAAATGTTTTCTCTCAGACACGGAAGACAGATCCAAAGATAAACATATACACAAAAAGCAGCACGATCACACACAAACTCAGAGGTAGAACGTGTTGGTGACAGTGGAATTTCTCTATGGAACTTGGGGAAGAGGGAAAGGAAGAGAGAATGATAGGGCATCAACAATATCATAAAACATAACATCTGTGAAG